TGCCTAAAATTTGGAACTTCAGCTTTTTAGGATAATGTGGAACCCAAGTGTATCAAATATACTGTTTTAATGAAAGATTTGAACCTGCAGTACATGTAAAACTGCAAAGCTATAGGATATTTGAAAAACAAAAAATCCCCCAAACAAATTACAGAATTTCATCTCAGTTCATCTATGAAGGCTTTCAATAATGTAATTGTTTAAATTTAGATAAACAAGTAAACTGCTCGTTGCCATAATTCAATACTATGCAGCAGCTGGACTTCAGTCTGAGTGGCCCTGAACTTACTTGTTTCCTGCTTGCATGTTTTGCTCTTCAAGGAAGAAGATGCTCATCCAAGTATTTACTTCCCTTGAAAATTGTCAGTACTGTATTGACAGTAATAAGTAATTTGCTTGAGTGATTAATGATGTGAAATATCCATGCTGAGAGAATATACTGAGCACGAGCCTGGGTTTTACAGACTACTGTATTTTCTTAGATTAGAGAGAACAGCTGCTCTCTGTTAACATTAATCCTGGTTTCTGAATTTCTAAGTCCCTTGTATATTGACATTTAGTGACTGTGTGCTTAAATGTGTTTGTTTTGCTCTAAGGAGAGTTTTGGTTGAGAAAATTGAAAAGGAGTGTTCCAAAATGGAAAGTTTCAATCATAGTGCCTGAGTCCCATCTCAGCTTATTTCTGAGAAGGTTATTGCTATAAATACCACTGCTAAAAATGTTTTGGTTTACAAAAGCAGTAATGGGTGTTAGTTTCACAACAAAGATTGCACAGAGTGCTCTTGGATTTGGGCTGAGGTTGCTGCTGAGCAGCTCCTGTGGCTGGGCTCCTTCCATTCCTAAGTTTAGTTATTGCCAATGCAGACAATTACAGCAGCCTCTGGAGCCTTGGTAGGTAATAATCTCCTGTAGCTGATTGTCAGTTCACTCATTCCACTGTTTCTCCTGCAGAACCGATTGGAAGTATGTCTTCCATGGAGGTGAATGTGGACATGCTGGAGCAGATGGACCTAATGGACATGTCTGACCAGGAAGCACTCGACGTCTTTTTAAACTCAGGAAGCGAAGACAATAATGTGCTGTCTCCGATGCTGGGTATGGTACTTGTAGTGACAGCCTGCTTAGAGACAGTGATAAACCACCTGAACTGCTCCCATTTGTAATGGGTGATGCTATCTCATAAAACATCACACTTGGTGCAGAGTGACTGTTCTTCATTAGTGCTTCTCAGAACATTAACATTTAGTTTCATTTAGTTGCTGTACAAGGGAGTTGCTGCAAAACTATGTGGTATTTCCAGACAATCTCATTTTTCTTACTGCAGCTCCCTGTTGTGTTTATCACAGTGTTACATACTGGCTTGAGGGGTGTTTTTCCCAATATAGAGTTAATAGAGGATGTTTTGACAAACATCAACAGAAATCTTGCAGTAATTAGGCTTTTATTTTTAATAATGATTGCTTAGAATTTGTCCAGAATGTTGCTTTTCAAATTTGGACCAGTTGTATAATGCAAGATCTTCGGTGAGAGATAGAGAGACAAAGTTCAATCTAGCAGTTTACATATACACTGAGAATTAGTGTCTCAATACTGGATCTTCCATCTGCCATGGAAGTGTTTTCCTAGTTAAAAACTTAAGTGCTAAAATGCCTTTCCTCAAAAGAGCCAAAATTATTTTTCTTGCAGGAGATGATGAAGTTCCTTTAAAGGTCCTTTTGATTTCTTCTGAAAATACAGATTGAAATATTTTTATGGAAGAACTTACAGTACTCCCTGTGTAAAGGTGATTAACACCTGCTGTGAACATGAAAAGCTTGTGGTAAACGGTCAAGGCACGTTTGACTTACTAAAGTTCAGATTTTTGTGTTTCATTTGAAAAACTGAATTGAGATGGGTAGTTTTGCATATGCATCCACTTTGTGCATCATTTGAGCTTGCCAGTAATTGCAGAATCTAGGACTGTTTTCCCCTTGCTGGCTGTTTGGCAAAGATGTTGGACCAAGAAGCTTCATGTCTTAACAGCAAACAGTGTCAGCTGGATTATCTAAGGAAGTGCAGAAACTACTTTTTTAACTAAGTAGATAAATGCATTAGCTTTTGAAAAAAATACATTATTTGTTTTATGCTGTAATCTAAATATTACAGCATATATGTACAGTGTCTATATGTGGACATACACTGCAATATAATGTATCTGTGCTTTAATAATGTTCCAGCACTGCAACCCTACTGCAGTGTAAGTCTCATGAATCTTGCTCTTGCGGTTCCCGACATTTTATTTCCCTCTGATTAAGGGATTTTTGTACTTGCTTTAAGAACCTGGCACCCCAGCATCAACCCAAATATGCAATAATCTTTATTCTTAGAAAAATGAGATGACTTAAAAGGTAACTCTTCATTTTGCTGTCAAAGCAAAGGGTTGACAGGGCAAGGTTTGTTTGACAATTGGGCTGAACACCACAAAATACAGGTAAGTTATTAAAAAAACTAGTAAAAATGAGAATCAGCTCAAGACATTGAAATATTTTCAAATTTGCCTTGCTATAAACATTGCCAGCTTATGGACATTGGCTTTCCAACATTTCGCGACAGTAAGCTAAACTGCAAAATCGAGTAAGTTCTATCACTCCTGAAAACTCCTCTGTGTTGAGTAAATTGATATAATGTGTGCTGGTGTACACCATGTAAGGCAGGTTTTCCAAAATTTCTAGTGTTAAAATATAACTCAGGTATTCAAGAAGCAGGCATAGATAATGTGGTTTGAACTGCTTTGCAAACAGTTGAGCAGAGGTAAGGTGTGCTCATATCCCTCTGACCCTTCTAAAAAACTTCTTAGTGAATTTTTAAAGAGAATTTTCTCACTAAAGTTACCAGATGAAGCTGGGTGCTCTGACTATGGAGAAACACTTTTTTAGGTAAAGGAGAGAAGGAAAAAAGGGTTTTCTTTGGCAGATCATATTGAAAATTTAGGTGTTTCCTCATTTTAACTTTTTTGCTGTCAGCAGCCATTCAGGGAAGAAAATCTAATTTTGAAACCTGAACTCAAACTGCAAGCAAACAGTGTTACACTGAACTTCCTTACAAGTCTTTTTTGCACAGGATATGAAGGATGCAGAATCTTAAAATCCCTCTCCTATGCACTTGAGATGTGGTATAGCTCTACCGAAGGATTGCTTTCATGCTGAATTGAATTTGCTAAAAGTGACTCCCTAACCAGCGCTGAGCTGATAATCTATTGACTTCTCAATCCCCTTGCTGAGCCAGAGCTTGACTGTTGCTGTTGTTTTCCCACCTCTCAGGGCCCGACTCCAACACCTACGTGAATGAGATCAGTCTTCAGGTGCCGAGCCAGTCTGAGTTACGGCAGAAACTCTGTTCCCTGTCCTCGACCTGCACCGACTCCGCCAGCCAGGACGCGAGCGAAGGAGAGTCCCCCGTGGTTCAGTCTGACGAAGAGGAGGTTCAAGTGGACACTGCCCTTGCTGCTGTAACTGAGAGAAAGGGTGCTTCAGATGGCAGTGATGAAAGTGACTCTCAAACTATTTGAATCTTACAACCATATCCTTTAAGAATGACTTCTGAATGAATGAACAAGTGAATGAAGAGCTTGCCTGTGTAACAATTTGCTAACCAAGCATAACAGCCAGATCTTTTTACTTAGTAATACTGCCTTTTTACAAAATTGCCAGTCATGTGGAGGTTGGTTTTTAAAGAAAAAAATTATGCCTAAAGCACACACACTTTAACAGTAGTCTTGGGGCTCAGGGGAGCAGTAAAACTGTTGTATATACTATGTATAAGAGAATTTAAGGGGAAAGGTAGAAGTTACTTTGACCACTAACCTTTAAATGGCTGATTGGAAGTACTTAAGAGTTGATGTGTAATACTGAACCCAAATTGTTCCTTGCATGTTTTCAGCTGCTGCAACTGAAGATTTAGGATTCAAACCAAAATGAAAAGTTATTTTCTACTCTTTACTACCTACTGTCTGCCTCCTGCCTTTGTCTACTAATGCAGCAGTGTCTACTGTTCTCACACTTCTTATTCAGGACCAACTTAGTTATAGGTGTTAAGGAAAAAATAAGAACCCGAGAAGGAGGAGAGATGCATATGGAAATGTGGCACTCCTTGTGGAGCAGGTATCTTAGCATTGTGTACTTACTCCTCTTTCAAGATGATAAAATAAAGAATTTCTATCCCAACCATGTCTTTTACTTGATTACCCAGGTATTTTATCCATGACAGAGTGAACAGAGGAGGCCCTAACTCAGGAAAAAAGAATGGTTATTAGAAGCACCACTGTAATGTGCTTTTCCATGATAACATCTGACTACACTAGGAAGATAAACCTAATTATTAAGTGCGTGTATTTTAGAAACCTCAGGACCTATAGGCAGCATCTCATTCCTGATTTTTCTGCAGTCATTTCTCTGAACTCGAGGTCTGACCATGTCTAACACCTGTTGCTTGTCAAGTCTCATGCTCTATTTTCAGGGATCTGCTCTCCTTTGAGAAGGCTCCTGGCTCCTGCTCTTCCTGCACAGAGGGAAGGAATGTAATCAGAAATAGCGTAAGTAAAAGGATGAGCTGTGATGTAGATTTATTCCAAAGACCTGCCCTGACAAAGCCAAAGGCTGGGAAAGAGGTATCTCCTTGCTGCTTGCCAGCTGGGCAGTGGCCAGTTTCCTTAAGGATTCTCCTGTTAGCTGATAAAGTGTTCCCTGACCCCTGTCTGGGAAATGAAAGCTGGAAGCTCCCTACCTACAATTAGAGATTTACTATTCAACAAGGCAGCTGTTGAAAGAAATTTATCTTGAAGGAGCTTTCTTTACTCTCTTGCTTTCCAGAAGACAGACAAAATGTCCAAAAAAGTTTTGTTTTTTTTATTAAACCTCGTAGTACAAACCTGGAAAGTAAACAAAAAACTGGCAATAAACAACATGAAGTCTTCCCTTACAAGGAAAGAGAGCAGAGCAGCGCTAATAAATTAAATGTCAAACTGTAAGCCATAGTCAGAAGTTTACTGTCAAGAGGGAAAAGTACACAGCAAGGCCATAAAAACCAGACAACCACATTTGAAAACACTTGACTCTGTTTATGTTATTGTTAAATATTCCAAAACAGTTCAGTCTTCTGCAACAACAACCAACAAATTGTATTATAGGACTTTCCTGACAGTCACCACTGGCAAGCTCAGTGCAATATGGGTAGCTACGGTATTGTTGAATTCAATTACGAAACAAAACAGTTTGTGAAAACATTTTCCCTTTTTTATTCCACACATACTGTACACACAACCAGAAAAGGGCAACAGCTACTCCATTATTATTTTTTGTTGTTGTTCAGTGATGTAAGCAGCACTTATAAATGTTACAAGAAAAACCCTGTAAGCATCCAATCCAACCGATGAAGAAAGTGAAACGTAAGGCTTTTCTTCATCTTGTCTCTTTGCCATCCCTCCCCCCACCCCAAGAAAAGGCTCAAGTATTTAAAAAAATTTACAGGCATATGTACAAAAGGTGTGATTTTTTTTTGTTACAACATGAAGAGAAAAAACAGACAAGATGAAAGCAAATGCATTTTCACATTCAAAAGAAATATGCAGACTTGCTAGTGGCTCTAAATGTGATCATATAATGAAACAAATTCAAAACAAAAATTAATGCTTGACTGTGTAAAGGTGTGAAAAACAGCAGTGGAATGGAAATGGAATGTTAGAAAGATTGCACGTCTATGACAAAAGAAGCACTTATGGCTTCAATCACTTTTTTTCTTTTTTTGTCTTTTTTTTTTTTTTTAAAGGATGCTATTGAAGGGTTTTTGATAAAGTAGCCAACAGCACCAAAAAATAACAGAATGGATTTCCTAATGAAATCAGGCACAGTTTTCCCTCACATAACTCCTCAAGGCAGGCAGTCTTTTTTCCTCTTTTTTTTTTCTTTTTTTAAAGGTTTTTTTTTTTTTTTTTAAGTTTTTTTAAAGTTTTCATTTTTCCCCCTCAAAACAGATGCATAGTGATGTGCTGGTAAAAGAGAACATACTCCAAATCTCCTCCTTTTGCCTACAGTTAGGAAACAAAGTCCGTCTTCAGCTGCCATAACCTCCCAAAGAAAGTGTGTATTCTCCAATTTAAAAAATTACAAAACTTATCTTGCTGTGACAGAATAAAAGACAGCCAAAGTAAAGCAATTTCTTTCAAGTTTTTGTCTCCTATCCCTTTTCTCTCTAGAAAAATCTGCTCACATGACTGGAGAACAAATTATAAAACACATCAAACTTTAACCTATTCAAAAAATGGGTTAAAAGCCTTTTTATCACAGTTACCAAAAAGGCTTTTTTATTTTTTCAGCCATAGGGACAATACAAATTAATATTTTATCAGCCCCTTGCCGGTTTTAAAACAGTGAACATACGGCAGTTTAAAAAAATCAGACTGCTGTATCTATCTATTCTAAGTACAAAAAAAAAAAAATTCCAACAGTTTAATGCTAAAACAAAATTAGTTCTCTAAAACCAGAAGAAAATCTTCTTTAGAGCTAGTGCAAAGACAGCTTGTATTCTACAGCAAGTACTCCAAACTATGGTATAATAATTACAAAAAATATATATAAATTGACAAAATGAGAGTGTTGGCATCTTCAGGATTAACTTGAAGCACTTTTGGATGAACTGGAGGATGAAAGCCTAGATGATGGCACGTCCACTGTTGCTCTCTTACGAGGTCCTCTTTTTGGTGTAGGCTTGCTGATACAGTTCTCAATGCTGCCATTTTTACCAGATACTTTTCCACAGATTTGATTGACAAGACTGATTATTTGTTCCTGTTCAGGAAGCAGGAAAAGCAAAACACAAGTTAGCATCTGTTCTTCCTTCAGTCACTTGAACAGGACAGCAGTGGAGTGCTCAGAAATGCTGGGAAGCCCATCTTAAAAAGCTGCTTGTACCCAGTGCTGCTTTCCAAGAGCTAACATGTCATTTCTCCCATTGCTCTGCTATTTACTTTTGGGGCAGAGTCCCCTCACAGGTAGAGACATGGAGCCTTCAGCCCAGAACCCAGGCATAGTCCTAAATCCCCATCTTGAGTTATGGGATTATTTATCACCACATTTGCTTGGAGCCACTACTGCACCTCTCATCTGCATGTGCTCTGCAAGTCTGTCCTAAAGGATGCTCATGCTGGACTGGAATAAGTCTGCTGAACTTCCAGTTACCAACAGAGGGAAGGTATTCCAAAGTACAGAAGTTACCATAACATAACCAGTGAAAGGAAAGGCTCATGTTCCATCTCAAAGCATTAAGTGGCTTCTTACGTTCTGTGGCACATACACATGGCAATTTATGCTTCAGGTTTCATCTGTATCATCATGTTCCCTTAGCTGTTTTTCTTTTAACTTAAATCATAATAAAGGAAATTCTTCCCACATCAAAAACAAATCCAAAACAACCCCCAAACCCAAGACCATTTTCCTGAGGCCTCAGTAGGACAAAGGCGGAGTTAAGCGTCCTCACAAATGTTGGGTACCCAGCCCCAGGCGGTGTCACGCTCACCTCATCGTAGCGGTACATCATCTTCAGCCCCCGGCACGACTTCTGCTTCTCCACGTGCCGCAGGGCACACTCCAAGCAGAAGACAACATTTTCATTCTCCTGTACAACCTACATAAAAGAGCAGAGGTGGATAAGTAGAAAGAACCTATCTCTTTTAGAGTGCTAATGTTGGCAAATATATATAATTTTAAAAAAAACCCAAAAAAACCAAAAAACCACCAATAGTAATGAGGGTTAAATTGTTATAATTTATATTTAATATATAAATGTATATACTATAAAGCATAGTACATGCATTTATTAGCATCTCCTATGTAGTCCTAAAGACCTCCTGAAAGGAATAGTTTCCCATTACTTAAAATGCTGTCTTCAAGAAGGATGTAATCAGCTTAGCCACAGGATCCTCAACTACTGTCTTGTTCAGCAGAGGTCACATTTGCTCAGCTGGCTGCTTACCAGGCATGTACACTCAGCTTGGAATTTAATAACCAAGCTGTTTTTCTTTTTATTGTGTATTATTTATATTAGTTGTTATTACAGCTACTGTAAAAGAGTGACATGGAAAAACCCTTCCCATGATTAAACTTACTCCAGAGCAAATGGACCAGAATTAAGAGGTTCTGGTTAGCATTTGGGTTTTTTTCAAAAAAACTTATTTTAAGGTTACTTCAAACTAATTCTACTTAAAAAAGTAATCTAAAGACATGTATAAACTCAGCATATTCTACCCTAGGGAGGAAAACAGCTACATCTGATTATATGCAGTTACATTTAATTTCCCTTAAAAACCTAACATCTATAACCAAAAAAATCCCCAAAAGATGACAGAGAAAAAGAACTCCCAAACCAAAAGGACTAAGTATGGACTTACATGCACTGCATTATGTTTATTTCAATACCTGTTCTGGGGAGTAAGTGGTATATAAGGTAGTGGGAGGGGCTTCTGGTATCTTTAATGACGTTGCTGTGTTTGTAGGTGTTCTGCATACAGCTCTTAGCCTGGAAGTGTCACCGCAGTGGTCAGCACACCTTCAAAAGCCAGTAGGCAATTCCCTCTTAAAAGAGAGAGAGTTTATGGGCAATTTTTGGACAGGCTGGCAAATAGCTTGATGGATAGGATACATCTCCCTTGCAATTTGGCTTGCAGAGACATTGTCTCATCTCGGGCTGTGGCTGCATGCCTGAGGCTCATGGCATGTCTGAGCTGCAGCTCATCCTGAGACCTGCTTTGCCAGAACTTACTGCTGCTGGCAACCTGCAAGTGTCTTTGTTAGCCCTCCTAGTGCAGTGCAAACATCTCACAGGTGTCTGAGGGCACTGGTTCATCCCTTCTGGCAGGCTGGGAAGACAGCTGCCACTATGGTCTTCTGGCCAAGGCAGTAAAAGCTGTATTAACACCTTTGTGTCTTGCATGGAGTGCAGGACATGGCTTTGTGGCCATGTCTCTCAAATGCCTATAGATCCCTGGAATGCTAGAAAAGGGGGATAGTACCCCAGGAATGGCCAGGGGTTGTACCCACCATGGAAAGATAGCACAGGTGCTGACAGATCTGACACCTCCTCTCTGACGTTTCTAACTGCAACCACTTTCGAGGCTTTTTCTTGCCATCCACGCCGGTGCTGCTGCTGTCGTGGCTGCCGTAGCGCGCCGAGGAGTGGAGACCGGCCTCGTACAGCTGCCGCCGCTGCCTCAGCTCCGTGTCCCTGTGAACGGGGGCACAATTAGACACTGGCACTGCCTCCAGCCACTACAGAGCCACACACAGTCACCCCTTTACCACGCTTGTTACTGAAACCTGAGCTCCACACAGTAAAGCCCTGAGTGTTGTCGGAGGCTGGTGCCATTCCCTAAGCATGGCAGGCACAGCCAGCGCCTGGGAAACGCTGCCTAATCGCAAAAGCTATCTCCGGATTTTAACAGCGACCACTGTATCAAGCCAATGGTTCTCAAACTGCTCCACAGAGAAGTGGGGACTGCCNCTAACATGTCATTTCTCCCATTGCTCTGCTATTTACTTTTGGGGCAGAGTCCCCTCACAGGTAGAGACATGGAGCCTCAGCCCAGAACCCAGGCACAGTCCTAAATCCCCATCTTGAGTTCTGGGATTATTTATCACCACATTTGCTTGGAGCCACTACTGCACCTCTCATCTGCATGTGCTCTGCAAGTCTGTCCTAAAGGATGCTCATGCTGGACTGGAATAAGTCTGCTGAACTTCCAGTTACCAACAGAGGGAAGGTATTCCAAAGTACAGAAGTTACCATAACATAACCAGTGAAAGGAAAGGCTCATGTTCCATCTCAAAGCATTAAGTGGCTTCTTACGTTCTGTGGCACATACACATGGCAATTTATGCTTCAGGTTTCATCTGTATCATCATGTTCCCTTAGCTGTTTTTCTTTTAACTTAAATCATAATAAAGCAAATTCTTTCCACATCAAAAACAAATCCAAAACAACCCCCAAACCCAAGACCATTTTCCTGAGGCCTCAGTAGGACAAAGGCGGAGTTAAGCGTCCTCACAAATGTTGGGTACCCAGCCCCAGGCGGTGTCACGCTCACCTCATCGTAGCGGTACATCATCTTCAGCCCCCGGCACGACTTCTGCTTCTCCACGTGCCGCAGGGCACACTCCAAGCAGAAGACAACATTTTCATTCTCCTGTACAACCTACATAAAAGAGCAGAGGTGGAGGGAAAGGAGTGCAGTTAAACTCCAAACCGTAGCTGTGTTCTTCACACAGTATTCAATCATGGTCTGAATTACTACACCTGAATTTTACTGCAAGGTAGTGGAAGGAGATGTAAAGCACACTGTGAAATCACTCAGGATGTGTAATAAGTAGAAAGAACCTATCTCTTTTAGAGTGCTAATGTTGGCAAATATATATAATTTTTAAAAAAAACCAAAAAAAACACCAATAGTAATGAGGGTTAAATTATTATAGTTCATATTTAATATATAAATTTATATACTATAAAGCATAGTACATGCATTTATTAGCATCTCCTATGTAGTCCTAAAGACCTCCTGAAAGGAATAGTTTCCCATTACTTAAAATGCTGTCTTCAAGAAGGATGTAATCGGCTTAGCCACAGGATCCTCAACTACTGTCTTGTTCAGCAGAGGTCACATTTGCTCAGCTGGCTGCTTACCAGGCATGTACACTCAGCTTGGAATTTAATAACCAAGCTGTTTTTCTTTTTATTGTGTATTATTTATATTAGTTGTTATTACAGCTACTGTAAAAGAGTGACATGGAAAAAACCCTTCCCATGATTAAACTTACTCCAGAGCAAATGGACCAGAATTAAGAGGTTCTGGTTAGCATTTGGGTTTTTTTCAAAAAAACTTATTTTAAGGTTACTTCAAACTAATTCTACTTAAAAAAGTAATCTAAAGACATGTATAAACTCAGCATATTCTACCCTAGGGAGGAAAACAGCTACATCTGATTTTATGCAGTTACATTTAATTTCCCTTAAAAACCTAACATCTATAACCAAAAAAATCCCCAAAAGATGACAGAGAAAAAGAACTCCCAAACCAAAAGGACTAAGTATGGACTTACATGCACTGCATTATGTTTATTTCAATACCTGTTCTGGGGAGTAAGTGGTATATAAGGTAGTGGGAGGGGCTTCTGGTATCTTTAATGACGTTGCTGTGTTTGTAGGTGTTCTGCATACAGCTCTTAGCCTGGAAGTGTCACCGCAGTGGTCAGCACACCTTCAAAAGCCAGTAGGCAATTCCCTCTTAAAAGAGAGAAAGTTTATGGGCAATTTTTGGACAGGCTGGCAAATAGCTTGATGGATAGGATACATCTCCCTTGCAATTTGGCTTGCAGAGACATTGTCTCATCTTGGGCTGTGGCTGCATGTCTGAGGCATGTCTGAGCTGTAGCTCATCCTGAGACCTGCTTTGCCAGAACTTACTGCTGCTGGCAACCTGCAAGTGTCTTTATTAGCCCTCCTAGTGCAGTGCAAACATCTCACAGGTGTCTGAGGGCACTGGTTCATCCCTTCTGGCAGGCTGGAAAGCCAGCTGCCACTATGGTCTTCTAGCCAAGGCAGTAAAAGCTGTATCAACACCTTTGTGTCTTGCATGGAGTGCAGGACATGGCTCTGTGGCCATGTCTCTCAAATGCCTATAGATCCCTGGAATGCTAGAAAAGGGGGATAGTACCCCAGGAATGGCCAGGGGTTGTACCCACCATGGAAAGATAGCACAGGTGCTGACAGATCTGACACCTCCTCTCTGACGTTTCTAACTGCAACCACTTTCGAGGCTTTTTCTTGCCATCCACGCCGGTGCTGCTGCTGTCGTGGCTGCCGTAGCGCGCCGAGGAGTGGAGACCGGCCTCGTACAGCTGCCGCCGCTGCCTCAGCTCCGTGTCCCTGTGAACGGGGGCACAATTAGACACTGGCACTGCCTCCAGCCACTACAGAGCCACACACAGTCACCCCTTTACCACGCTTGTTACTGAAACCTGAGCTCCACACAGTAAAGCCCTGAGTGTTGTCGGAGGCTGGTGCCATTCCCTAAGCATGGCAGGCACAGCCAGCGCCTGGGAAACGCTGCCTAATCGCAAAAGCTATCTCCGGATTTTAACAGCGACCACTGTATCAAGCCAATGGTTCTCAAACTGCTCCACAGAGAAGTGGGGACTGCCGAGGACTTCCTGGAGGTCGATGGTTGCTCGAGCCATGTGGAGAGTCGGGAGCTGTGGCTAACATGACTGTCATTCCTGAAGTTGCCAAAAGCCACCTTGAGGAAGAGGAGCCGTTGCTGTCAGGAGTAACAGCCCCTTCATGAGGCAGAGATGAACCAAGGACCTGCTGCCATAAGGTGCTTCAGGCAGGAAAGGGGGAGCAGGGCAAGTGGTTGTGCCAAAAGACGAAGATCTTGCTGTACACCCAGGGAGAAAGAAGGAGATGTCAATTAAGGACAACCACCAAGCCCTCCGGTTGCCCTTCACCCGCGGCATCTCTAAGGCGGACAATACCTCCTGTGCTGAACTCTACAGCTTTAGGAGAGCAGGTTGGGTTGGAGCTGAGTGGAAGACAGCAAGTGTGGAGTGAGCTGAGCAGATGGAAGGGGAGGATAAAAAAGTGCACCACCAGACACAGCTGAAGATGAGTGGAGAGCCAAGCTAAGCAAATGGCACGGGCAAACTGAGCAACCAAGGCAGATCAGGAGAAGAGGCAGCAAGAGACACAACAAACAAGCAAAACAAAACAAAGGAAAAAAAATATGGTACAGTGTTCCACTTCAGATGGCTTTTTTTTTGCTTTTTTTTTTTTTTATATATTTTGTTGTTTGGGCTTTTGTTTCCTATAAGCAGCCACAGGAAGGATCCATGTCCTCCAGTGAATTCCAACCTATGCATAAGAACAAGTTTGAGAACCACTCTGATAAAGGTCGATGTGATGGTCTAAGAGCAAGCACCAACATTTGTTTTGCCTTTCGTACTTGCAGACTTCCTCTTCAAGGGGAAAAAAAAGGCACTTGAAAGTGGTTATTCCCATAGGGGAGCCACCTGCAGGTAAAACAGTCAGCACACCTCTTTTCATTTCTTTCTGAACACTAAACAACACATGGGCTGTTTTCCCCTTCAATATGTCACTGGAAATTTTCCAAATGAACATGCTAGTTAGTTAAATACAGTTTGTAGACTCCATTCATCAAAACTTTCTTGACATCTCGAGTATCAGTTGTCACAAACTTGAAAGATAGGTAGCAACTACATGGTAGGGAACAAAAGAGAAGATCATTACACAGGAAGCCAGGCAACATTAGATTTTCTTTTCTCACCTATCTTAATAGAAACCCTGAACATGTGTCCTTAACACTGGAGAGAAAAAGGAGTGTGAAGCTTTTACTCTTTGGAACGTTGGAGTTCTAACGCCAGATGTGTTACCATGCATGCACGACTGCTCTCTTACTCACTATTTAAAACCAAGACAACTTCCTGTATTAAAAGGACCTTTTGCACCTGTAATATAAGAGTCTTGATACTGAAGACAAGGGTTCCTGGTGCAAAATCCATTACAGACACGGATTTACAGTGACTACTGATGCCAAGAGGTTGAAAAACTCAAGGAAAGTGTTTGACCACTTGGCACCACATAGCTCACATAATGCATCAGGAAATCTCAACTCTCAGCACCAAGAATTAACAAAAACCCAGTGCAAAGTGCAGTTTCAGTTTTTTTTAAGGTCTCTAAAGTAGGGAATTCTTAAGAGTTAAGACATCCTAACTGTGGGCACTGTCACATCAGCTACAGCCAAGGAAGCTCTGCTTCTTCTGTGTGTGCCTGTCTTTAGGTACATCTGCTGGTCTTTTGCTTGTTTAAGTGGGGTGTCTGAAGGGGTTACTTACGTCATCCACCTCTGGAGTCTGTCAATGAAAACAAAAGAGGTAAGCAAGCCCCCAATTCGTTACCTGAGCTCTCCAAGGAGCGATGATATTGTACTCAGAGTCGGTCCATTTTCTTTTTTTGCTTCTGCTGTTGCAATCTGATAAAGCAACTTTTCCATTGAAAATGGTTTGGCTATACGGCGCCGCTTCATTTCCTGGGACAGGGGGAAATTGCCACATTAGGTCCCAAGCAAATTTGAAAAAAAAAAATTACCAAGAATTAATACAAAGTTAATTAACTAGTATTATTGATACTAATAAACTGAAGCAAAAAATAGCCTTTTAAAACAACCACAAGTAAAATCTTTCCACAGTCCCACTTAAACAAAGTGTTTATGTTCCAAGCACCTCAAAATTCTCTCCCTAAAAATTAATTTTCCCTGTGGAGGCCAAGAGGACTGACACCATCACTCAAGTTCATTAATTCTGGATGGCTCAGAGTACAAACAGTGTAAGATATGTAATGTATACATATGTAACATATGACCTGCTTGAAACCCAGGACTGGTGTTATTTCGCATCTTTTAAAACATACAAAAAACCTAGCAGAACAGGCAGATGTCAGGGAAAAGAGACAAAAGAAGGGGGTTCAGTTCTGCCTGTTACTGGTTCCTCTCTGTGAAAGTTTTGAAAGTTATGTTTTTCACTGAATACAAACCAAATTATTTTGATAGCTGAAACCCTTTTGATAATTCTTAGGTAGACAAGTCCCTTAAATTAATGTCCAGGTGGGAGAAGTGCAGCATTTTCCCAGTAGGTGGAGGGGTCTGTTCTGGTTTATGTAGAGTCAGAGAAGTCAAATGAGCTAACACTGGACTAATGTGAGGGTGACATTTCTGGTTAGTGGTTAAACCTGCCAAAGATCTACTCAGCACACACAACCTCAAAGATTTTATTTCTTAATTTTTACCCTGTTCTGTATTGTAGTCTGTATAATTGCTTGCTCTGGGTATTTCTTTTTTCATAACCAATATATCAAAAAATTAATAATTTTTAACAGCACCAATTGCCTGCATTCAAGTGATAACTATCACATAAAATGGAATAGTAGCCTTTGCTGACCAAAAAGGGTTCAAAAGAGGCTTAGAGGTAAGAAAAGTGTTCAGAAGCTATTTGCTCTGTTAGACCCTGCCTGGGGTTGGAACAGCTGCACTGTTTAGGAGTGGTATGGGAAAATGTTTCCATGTTAGGTTTGCTTTGTCTGAGGCTGTGTACACAAGCACAGACTCCGATCCAGGACAAAACCCTGCATAGGCAACACACACAGCCAGGATAAAAGGCCACAGTGGGTGGCTGCAGAAGAAAGCAAGGTTGGCTCCAGCTGGGTGACAGCTCAGGGACACCCTTGCTGTACCTCTGCATTTACAACAGTATTTTACTGCTGCCTGATTATTTCTTTTAGTGACACATTTTTCGATGTCAGGAAAGTCAGTGAACATTCACATTACAATTATCATCATCCTGACACTTGTGATCTCTCTTGCTCTCATACATCTCTTGGTCATTCATTTTCCAGGCTGAGTAGTGCTCTCGTATATAATGCAGAGGCTAATTAATAATTTTAACCATTGATCTCTGCTGTGCTTTTTCTAGCTCTGCAATTAGGGGCTCTGAATTGTGCAAACCACCACTATGCAGTGCCAGAGCAGTTTCTGCTTTGTTATCTTGCTTATCTTTGTTATCTATCTCCTTGTAATTCTTAACATTCAATGTATTTTTGTTATGCCACTCCAGAGCACTTGACTGACAGCTCCATAGGAATCCAAAGACCTCTTTTCTCAGTAGCAAGAGCCCATCATTCAGAGCCCGTCTCTGTATCTGTCACATTAGGATTATGTTTTTAAATTGAAATTTAGCATTTATTAACACTGAACTTCATCTAGCATTTTCTCACTTGGACCACTCAGTATCATGAAATCTTTCTAATAACACTTCATAGCTTAAATTGTTAGTGGCATTACCATTAATATCCTCAGCACAAAGGATTAGTTTTGCTAATAACTTCCCTTCTTAAGTTATTTATGGATACATGAAACTGTACTGTTACAAACTCCTGAGGGGTGCAGAAAGAGACCTCCTCCCTTCATGATAAAAACTGACCTGTACTCTGTTTTATTTATATCAGTTATTTTTTTGGTGTGTGAACTTCACCTCTCAATTTATTTAAGCGCCTTTTCTCCTAAAAATAATGCTCACAGACTCTGTCAGCTGTAACTCTTGTCCTTACCTACTTCCAAAATTTTCAAGGGCTGGAGGCCATGACCTTGCTGCAAAAGCCACCATACCATGGTGCTTGCCCTGTTCTCATATTTTTGTACATTTACTTCTTCCACAGCAGTAGTTAATTTCCATTTTACTGCTCTTCCAAGATTCTTAATCTCTGCTCTCCACCACAGCACAGCTTTTTTTCTACTGAGGACATCAGGTAGACCTCTGTAGAACCACTTTCCCTTTGGTTTCATCTGAAGGAGCCACACGTGCTCATGGTGGGACAGCTCTGTGACAGGAGCCAAGGAGTGGGACACCTGTGGCACTTTAAAGTATGTTCCTCACCCCAGTTAAAACTGGAGGTGGGGAAATATCTGTCCAGCCCCTGCCATCATCTTCCATGGATGGCCATGGAGTACTAGCACATACTGTGCTAATACCACAGTTTTCCTATCAGGGAGATCAGTGCACAGGGATTCAGTCACAGAGTTAAACCTGGCTTATGGACTGTAAACTCTCCTCTGCGTGCAGCAGTGCTGCTTCAACTGGAAGACTAACTCCATCTTTCCTATGTACTTCTTCCTCTTGTACTACAGTACCAGCTGAGTCTCTTCCCACCCAGTTTCTGGTAGGCCCTAGAGCATCAAAGCCTTCCTTTAAAAACAGACATTCCCTCTTATTTCCAGACATCTAACCCAGAGAGCCTTCATTTAGTTCAACATTCTCTGTACTTCAGCTTCCTAAATGAGTTTCACTGACTTTGCCCAGTGCCTTATTTGAAGCTATGGAGTTATCCCTTTGCCATTCCAAACACACACTCTTCCACCACAACTCTAAATCTTCTTCTCATCCTTGCCTTAAAATGTCAAGAGCTCTTAGGGTGCTTTTTAAAAAACAGCAACCTTGTTCCAAGTATGGTCTAGGTTAAACCTGACTGTCCCTTTACACAGGTAAACTCCTTTATTCCAACAATTTTTCTGAAGTATTTGTAAGACTGAAATCAATGCCATTTCAGATGCAGAATTTCATTTTTCCATGTATTAAAGGTGATTGAGCAGCCATTCAATACAGAAATGAAACAACATCATTTTAGTAATATAAAGATAGTCACTATAAAAAAATCAGGTCACAGTATCACAGGATGAAAACAAAGTGAATTTATCAAACTGTCAGTATTGCTGTGGAGAATGAACAGACAGAAGATACAGTTGTTTATCAGAGAGATCTTTTAACAGTCCAAAAGGGGAATCTTGCCCATTTCACAGAACCTCTCACCACCTCTGGAAAGCACAATCCTGGCCAGCGTTGTGGCAAAGATGGCAAAGTGCCTTGTCAAAGTGGAGGAACCAAAGAATAATTTCCAAAATTAAAGGGAATTAAAAATGTAAGACAGTTTGAGTACAGAAATGGAAGGGAAAAAGAAAAAAAAAAAGAGAAATAAAAGAACAACACAGTAGATGGCTCAGAAGTTGTTTTTATATAAACATGTTATCTGTGGTTCTTGTAAAGTTTGTGAGAGCTGTGACTTCAATTTCCAAGGCAGGTTATTATAGACTGTAATCTGCTGGATTTTCAGTCAGCTTATATTTACCCAGTGCAAAGCTCTTAAAAATTAATCAAAAGAAACTGTTCTTCAAAATTTGAGGCACCAAGAGCTGTTTAATTGCTGCATAGTGATTTCTGTCTCATACAGGAGTAGCATTTCCACAATATCAAACAAGTGTTCAGTAGAGCGATAAATACAGCACATGGAGTTAATATAATCATGTATTTTCAGACAGGAAAGGTTAGCTCAGGATTCTTATGCCTTACTTATAGATATACACAATTCCCACCTTCCCCCAAAATAAATATATAATAAAAATAACCTTTTATTTCAAACTGAGTTAATATACAGTTAGTATAACCAGGCTGGAAGAACTCCATTTACCCTAAAGAAGCAATCCCTAACTGTGGACATATTATAGGTAATTACTTAGTAACTTGGTCTGAAGCTGTAAAGGATAATTTACTAATGGCTTAGCTATAAAACACTACCAAAATAGTATCTGTAGCCCAGAGTGTATTTCAGAAGGTTGGGCACACAATTAGTGACGTTTATTCTTTTTCCAAGAACACAGAAATGTAGCCAGAATCATGATGACTGGACAAGTCACCTGTTTCTGCAGGCAACCTACCTCAGTCAGTTGTGTGAAAAGGGAATGGGAAGGTTATTTATTTACATCTGTTATTGGATGGGCTGGTCAGTGAACCTAAGGATTTTCAAGTTGAGTAAAATTGAAATTGCCCTGATCAACAGTTTTTCCTGAATGAAGGGGCAGAGAAGAACAAGCAATACAGCTGTAAGTATTAACTGACTCTGCCTACCATTGGAACTAACAAGCACAGTTATTCAGATATTTGCACCTGAGATTCTAATGGTTCTAGAAAACATCACTTAAAAAAAACTTAGTAAGCATAATACAATGTATAATCATTAGCTCTGAACGGATTTTTGAAAAGCTTCCTTGCAAACTGGTCTGCAGGCGTAACAATCTTCTGAATTTTTTTATAGATAGATACACAAGTCTTTAAGAGCCAGTTAACAACTCAGTCACTTTTCTGAAAACACTGGATCATCTTATGCCTTGCAGAACTTTTTTTCTTTTCTTGTTTTTTATTTATTTAGTACTCCAGAAAAACAGATGTAGTTGCACTACTCTCATAACGCTACCAATCCTGGAATGTCTGCTGTCCTTTTAGATGGCAGGGCCGTGAATCCATTTTAACTCCTTTTCTCAACTTACCTTGGCTGTTTTAAAGCCCATACTTGTCCACTGGGTGGTAGCAAAGTGCACCGATTCGGAAACACTATAGCCACAACATACTTTGGACACAAAGGATCCAGGAAAACAGACAACAAACTGCCCGCTCTGCTGTACAGTACGGTGCACCCTGATCCCCTCCTTACACAAGATCTCTGGGGAGATCTGGAAAGACAGAGGGAAATTAAAAAAAGAGAAAGAAAAACAGTTAGTCAGAACTTTCTTTTACAGTTCTCTGGTCCTCTTCCTGGCTGGGTGCTGCCACCTGCTACTGCTCGTGGAGCAAAGCCTGTGCTCTGCGAACAGCTCCGCTCCAGTCGCTTTCCCTCTCCCATTCCGCACGTGCCAAACCTCAGCATTTGGAGTGACAATTGCAGAAGTGCCTCTCTCCTCAAACCAAGTTTAAACTCACATGCCCAAAGACAGAACACTGTCTGCTACTACAGAAAGCAATGCAGATCATTCAGCTTTCCATCCAATCTTTTCCGACTTGGCACTGAACCACTGTGCTACTGCTCTTCTGTGAGATGTTAACGTGGGCAACCAAGGGAGGGTTTTTGTTATGGCGTATTGTATAGTGTATTTATACTTAAATACACTAAAAGAAATTGTTATCCAAAAGATAAACAGGCAAAAATACTTAAGTATTATGTTTCTCCTATCCATGCTGGCATCATAAAATGTCATAAAATAGCAGATGAATTGATTAAATCCACTCCCTTTGTGAGGCTAAATACATTACAGACAGTATTAAAAATGGACATTTATTGCACTTTCATGTCTGTTTTTATATTAATACATAATAACAGCCTTGTTAGAAAAATACCATGTGGGTAAACACTGCAAACACTGCAGTGTAAGACAAAACCAAAATAAATGCCCAACCAACCAGCCTCCTGATTAGCCTTGGGTTCTCAAATGGGAGCACTTCTCCCAGTGTTAACCTACCATTACATTACTTTCAAGCATTTCCAGCCCTGGAGTGCCATTGGCTTGCAGCAGGGTATGTACCACATCATCAAGTTTGTTCTCCTCCGCAGCAGGAATGCAATACCTGTTGTTTTGTCAGAGGAAAAGAGAAAGATTTACTGTAGAGTAAATTATGGTCCACAGCTACACAGTAACAGGCAATTCAGACCAGCACATTGATTAGAAGAAAGAAATTCAACACAGGTTTTCACACACAGTTCTTTCGGTAAAACACTGAGAGATTGAAGGGAAGTTGTTTATTCAGACTCAGTCTGATCGTGTTCAGCAAGTATCAAAAGACACAAAATCCCCAAAACAGAAATGTGAAAACTCAGTCCTCTGTAAAGTCAGAGGAGAGAAACCAGCAATAGGTTGATGTTTATTTTAACAGCACCAAACCAGCTAATTAGGGCAGAGGGGCAGAGGTTTGCACCTTGTCAGCACCAATATATGTTGCTATCTTTACTATAAAAGGCTGTATTTATCATCTGCATCAACCAAAGGACCTTCACATTTAATAGCATTTTCTGTTTGTAACAGTCAAGAAACCATAAATTTCCCCTACTGTAGTGCATGAAGTTGCCTAAGACCTTCTTGCCATTCTTACTGGACAAATCCCACATCCCTCCTCTCCCTTGTAACAAAAAACCTAAGAGCAGCCAAAGTGGCAGGAGAGGTTTCAGATTCTGCTGGCAATCTGCCAAGTTGCACATCCTTCTCTCCTTAGAAGCCAAGGAAGCAGCTGTCCTCTTGTGCTCACTGCCAGCACTGCTCCCTCAGCAGAATGACAAGTGACATGGGAGTCTTGAGTCTTAGAGCCACACATCCAGAGAACTGCTGTTTTTTCTGGATGCAGGGAGGCGATATGGTCACAGCTGGTCACTGCTCTTGCCTGCAGCCTATCCGAGGGGTGATGCTCAGGCAAGTCAAAAAGCTTCTCCAGCTTTATCATGACTTAACCCTTCTCTTTAGGCAATGAGACCTCAACCTGGAGCCCATTTGCCCCCACACCAGAAACACACACACAGAGTTGTTTTTCCAAACTTGGAACAAGAGAATGAAGCTGGAAAAATGTTGGGGAACTGGTACAGTCTTCCTGCCATTCATACGATCTCTCCAGCAACCTCATGAAGTGTTCTGCTGGCCTTACCCACCTTGGCAGGGTACTCGCTTATAACGTGCACCAACTCTGTGTACATCACATGGAGTCACCCTGACTGAAGAGTCTGCAGAAGGCAGATCTGCACTTCCTATGATCTGAACACCTCAGCACTGTTCACTGTACTGATGATGACTTTGATTTGTGTTGACCTTCAAGCCAAGAGGCAGAAGACATGACATTATCTGCTCATATAGCTAATTGTAGCCACAATAAGAGTTTTACTGAGCTGTTTGCCCAGGTGTACAAAGACCAACTCCTTACGTGTATATTGACAATGGTCAGGACCTTCCTAAGAACTCCTAGGGTGATAGAGAGGTGAAGTAGAACATCTTGATAAGTAAGGATCAAGTCCCAACAGCAATTTTAAATGTATGCCATGTTTCAAATACTTAGTTGCTAACAGTGACAGCTTCAGTACATCTCCCCATGTGAGGTGCATCACTCTAGTTACACTATAATAACAGATTTGAAACAGGGATGAAAATATTTAAATTTGAAGCCAGATCATGACAGAATCCACTCTTCTCGTTTAGAGTCAGAAAATATGGCTGGAACAGATAGAAGATTCAAGCATGCAGTCCCTCCCTCACAAGACAGGCACAGGAAAATGCTTGGGAAGGATGTGTGAAGAGGAGGGGCAGCACAGAAGTGCATGGCAAAGTGCCTGGGGCAGGACCATGGGGAATGAGATCCTTTGCAATTGGTGTACGCTGCAATTGCACTCATCTGCAATTCCTGATGTACCTATAAAAATGGGAAGTGAGCAGCCAGTAAAGACTTCTGAATGCCTTGGAAGAACAAGATTTCTTTCTTTCTTTTAATGGGCACCGAGGATCCCTCCAGAATAAAAAGGTTAGGTCACTAACCTCTGCCCTGCATGTAAATTGAGTTCTCCCCTGTTTAATCTCCATGAGGTAAAACCTGAGAGATTAGAGAGTGATCTGAGTGATCTGCAGGTAAGCAAAGTGGTTTTGAGTAGCACAGGGATCTGTCCTTGGAGAAGAAGATTTCTGGGTGGTGGATGGACTTGGCAAGACGGAGGAGAGGTTTGGAGCCCAGTGGCTGCTTTGCTGTCCCCGAAGCAGCGACTGAAGGCCGTGCTGTCAGGGCTACTCCAGGAACTGCGCCAGACCTGCAGATATTAAATTCATCTTCTCCTAACACAGCTGGGTGCTTTACTGCACTATTAAAAGTTGTAATGAGCTAATGAATACTAGCCTGACACTTCAGGCTGGCAGCCTTGCTGAAGAATAGCTTCAACAGACAAAGGAGTTCCACTTCCTTCTTATCAGTTATTCCTGCCTACTATCCCTGTTTCATCAAGGCTATCATCACAAACACGCCTTAAGCTATGTACTCATCTGTTTAAGTCCATCAAGATAAAGCAAATGGCTTCTTTACTTTTATTCTTATTGGATTTGAAAAACAGGAATATTAGTCTTTCCTAAAATTTGAGCTGTCTGCATGCAAGACTGTTCAATCCCAAGAGTCACACAGTATGAAGAGTGGCCTCAGAACTTAATTAGGGGATTCTTGAATACCTTCTGCTTGGAATTTCCTGTCATTTAAGACTAGATTAATGTTTTAGAGAGAAACAGACTCACCAAAGGTTGAGGACAATGCAGCTTGCTCAGCCATTTGTCCTGATAGTAAACTATTATAAAAGATTACAGATTCCTGATTCATGGAACAGGGAGAAGAGCCATGAAATGCCCATGTCAGAAACTGCAGGTCTGCAGCAGAATCCAGCAGTTACCTTTACCCCTTGAGAGGATCACATACAGAACATTTCTTAAGCTTAACACATTTAGAGAGAGGAGATCCTGCTTTAATGGTTTTCTCCAAATTTCAAATCCTTTTTGTTGGGCCATGTGCTTTCCCAGTGACAGCTGGATCAGCACCCTTGACATCAGCAGCGTCTGAGAAATGTGTAAGAACACACTTTGCATGTGCATAAAGCGCAGCTCATTATGCCACTGCCACCATGGGGACATCAAGACAACCAAAATAGACCATGGAAAACCAAATGAAACATTTCTTCCAGGAAAGGGTTTTAATTTCCTAAGTTTATACCACATTTTCCCATTACAACTGGGAAACTAGACACTCACACAAACCCCACACGCCCCCCCAACACACACACTGGACCTCTAGATGAGATTCCCTCATGCAAAATTACTATACAAGCTACTACTAACACTAGCCTACAGGCAGACACTGCAGGAAACGTGAAGAAAAACAACAGGACTACTTACCAAATGCAATCAGCACCAGTGTGTAAGTAGTCAATGTATGGAAGGTGATTTTGGTCTCGAGACCAGCATGAGGTAGAAAAGACCATGCCAATATTTAGCCAAGGAATTGTCACTCCTAAAACGAAGAGATTGAAAAATGAGTTGAGTAACTTCAGTTTGTTCAGTGAAAGACAGTTTGAGAGGGGATTTAAATAAAAAATCCTATTTTCCCTGTAACCTGACCCCTTGAAGTTATGTCTTCCTATCAGAGTGAATAATTCACAGGGAGTAGTTTAACGAACTCAGCATTTTCCACTAAGAAAATATCTACCAGCCAACTGCACTGCCCTTGAACTTGTTTGTTTTCTAATAGCTGTATAAAACTTTTATTCTTAGGAGAATTTACAAATACCCATAATTCAAGCTCACTGCCACTGATCAGAGGTTGCTTCATGCTGTCAAGCATCCATGTAACTTTTCAACAGGTATCCTGTTTCCCAGCTGGTTTGTTCAGGCTCAACACCTGATCTTACCAGATTTCCCCTGTGCTTTCAATGTTTCTTACCAGTAACCTGCAATGGTGTATAGGCAGCTGGAGAATTTGTGTAAGTTCATTTAAAAATGTGTGTGTGCTATAGACTACATTTTGCAAGTGTAGAAGTTGCACAGCTCTGTCCTGACACAAAAGAACATCGATAGCCTGGCAAGAACAGCAAGGGATACTGCAGGTACAACCAGCTCCTCCCAGGAGTAGGGTCTCAACTGTTCACTAATCCTTTATCTGCATGGCTGCCTCCCCCCCTTTAATTACCACCTGGTACATCCAACTGCACCTCTGCTCAGTCAGCTGGGGACCAGGGGTCCTGGAAGAGGGAGAAGCATTTGGTGCCCACAGCACCACATTCAGAGGACACTGACATGGCTGAAAACCCAGAGAAGGGACTTGGCTTACCAGGCACAGCACCAAGATGTCGCAGGATGGATCCTGTATTATTAGGAAGGACTGTGAGGTTCCACCCATGCCTGTTTGAGGGGTGACACAGAGAGAGACACAGTCAGTGCACATTCCCAGTGCCAACACTCCCAGTGCCAAGCTGCCCTGCTGTGCTCTGCTGATGAGTGAGGCAACAAAGAGGATGGATTTGGGGCTCTTACCTTGAAAATGGTTCAGATTTTCCCACAGGAAAACCACTCCCGTGGGTGTTGGTATCTACTTTTCCACAATGCACTGCTACATGGCAATCTTTCTGTTCCACTATCCGCCAGTATTCTTGCTGTAGTAAGAGAAAGAAGTAATGCATTTTTAATTTGCTGAACAAGGTATCTCTCATTAAAATATAAACCCCAGAAATTGACAAGGTTTTCATGACCTCAATGCAATTCAACATAAAATATTGCTTAAAAATAAGAATATAAATAATTAAAAGTCACAATAAGGCAGGCAAAATTTAGATCCCCTTGGTTTCTGTGTTTCAGCACATGTCAGATTAAGAATTCTTTCTCTTCCTCAGTTCATCAACACCTTTATTAAAAATGTTCCAAGAACTTTAAAAAAGGAAGAATCAGCACCATGTCTATTTGATAATTTTTTCAAAATTCCTAACTAGATAGCCTTAAACTGATTAGAGAAATTCTTTAAAGTCAACTATCCTGAATCCCCATACTCAGTGTCCTGGAATAAAAACCTTTACCACCCCTTGAGCTGGCCTCACCTCTACTTCAGCTACTGTAGGCTCCTTTGTGAAGCACATGTTCATGATGTTTCTTGCTGTTCGGTAGAAGGTTGTTAAAGAAACAGACCTACCCTGTGGAAAAAGAAAACAAAGTTAAAAGTGAAAATGAAAAAGCATGCCTACATTCCCCCATGTCTTCACCCTTTTCCTTACAGGCTCGAACCCAGATGACAACACAGGGAAAGAGGACAAAGTCACCAGAAGAGGTATGGGTCTAAAGCTCATTTTGTTGCTGAGAGAAAATACCTTAAAAGATACAGAAATTCAATCACATGAACTTCCTAAACTCACCATGTAAAAAGGCCAACTGAATGTTCCCAGAAGGAACACTGCTTTGTCCAGCACAACACTCAGTGTTTGATAAATACAGAGGATGGACATGGCCCAGCTTCCTATGACAAGTTGCAAAGACCCCAGTAGGCAGCCAGTCAAATCCAGTACATTATCCACGGACCACGTGGCCATGATCTTTATGTACAAGGAGCAGGCAAAAAAGACTTAGAGAATTCACAGAAATGCTCAGCATCAAATGTTGTATGTGGTGGAAGAGGGTCACAAAAAGCAGAGTTTGCCAGGATTAGAGGATAACTGTAATCACTTGCTTTCAAAAACTAGTTATGCTCCACTCAATAAAAGCAGTTCAAATGCCAAGGAACCAAGACCTGTTATTACAAGGTTAGGAAAAGTAAAACACAGTAAAATTGCTGAATAAGTGCATTCTCTCTTGGCACTGCTGCAGGAGCTGGACAAGAAGAGGCTCTGACTTGGTTTTCTGCTTGAGTTACCACAAAGTTTCCATGCACCTGCTTTCCTGCACACCTACACTACCAGATGCTTTGGGAAGCATTGTCTGATGGCTTTGAAGGCAAGAGCACGAGAAACTGCTTCCTTTCAGCCCTGACATGGTGGTGTGCCCAGACAGGAACACCCCTGTTGCCTCTGCTCCAGGGCAGAAGGAAGATGCTGTGAAGCTGCTTGCTGAGAGCTGGCAGGCACCACAAGGTCTGTGCCAGCTGCAGGCAGTGGAGTACAAAACCTCTTTGCCCCCTCACCAGATCCACTGCTCCTTCCCACTCTGCCCCCTGACCGCTCATCTGAGCAACCACAGATTTACAAACTCTGCATAAATGAGTTTTATTATTTGGACTGTTACCGTTCTAGTTTTTCAATTATGAAACAAATCTGCCAAACCACCTCAGCCTTTTCTTGTGTTTAATTTATTTAATAACTAAGTCCAAGAGTAAACTAGAAAGAACTATAAAAGCAGCTTTCCCCCAGAGGCCAAGTCTATCACTCTGCTCTTACAGTTTTAACGTTGTCACTTCTTAAATTGAATGCTGCATAATTAGCTTTAGCAAAAAAAAGTTTGTGAAATGCCCGGGGCCTGGGGCACTCTGATTCTCATAAACTTCAGAGCTGGATTCTCTGTGATCCAATAAGCAATTTCCTTCATCTTTTAATGCCCTTGTGAATGGTTTATTGAGGCAGCCTTTTACAACAAAACCTCTCGTAAAGCACAGGGCCCGCACCAAGTCACCGCGCTCGGGCGCAGCCTGCACCGGGGGCAAGCCAACACTGCAGCAGCTGCCTCCTTTCACTTACTTGCCTCTTCCTCTCATCTTATGCAGAAAAACAAAATTAAGGCCTCATCTTCCAGGATTAGCCATGTCTTTCCATTTTTCAGATAGACAAGAAAGAAAACAGAAGTATACAGCAAGCAATTAAAAAGAAAGTGGAAAACTGGAATAGTTTAACCCTTTAAAATTGCATATACCCGTTTCTTCCTCTACCAAGAATTTGCTATCTTTTTTAGTCTCCTAAAAATTGTAAAAAAATTTAAATGGCTAAGGGTTTTTTCTGTTGTCTGTTTGTGCTGTTTGGCTGTTGCCTTTAATCTGAAGAATCTTGTAACATTTTCTAATGCCAACACAGAAAATAATTTAAAATGCTTTAATGGAGCATTCTAACCAGAACACAAAATGAATTGCTGAGGAGCAAAATACGCTCTCCAACACCCTGAAAAATATCTCAGCAGTTCAACAACTGTCTTAGGTGCTTCAAGCTACAAAGTAGAGACGAGAGGAAGGTTTAGGAAAAGAAATTCCTATTTCCTCCCCTGATTCTTCTCACGTCTGATTCAGGGGCCATGAGAGCCAACCCAGGGGGACCATCACCACCACCACCAAGCCTGGAGGGAAGGCACAGAGAAGGACACTGCAATGCTATGAATGTTAAAGATATTAAAGCGAACATAAATATGAGCTGGAACCAGATATTCCACAATAGCCACAGCTGGGAAGGAGGGGCTGCTATTAAGTGGAGTAAGAAAATGCCAAGTCCCTCCCTGGGCGAAGAGAGCTCAGCATAGGATTTCCACGATGGTTTTATGGGAGGGCAGGCAAAACTCGCATTGTGATTTCTTCTGTGTGTCCCTCTAATGAGTCTGCTATATGCCTTCAATTTGTTCTGTATGGAAACACAAATGCTGCTTTCAGTCAGCACTGTAAAAGATTTTTAAAATATTTTCAGAGCTAAAACTGGGGGAAGAAGAGTGAAAATCTTGCATCAGAGCCTGCTTTGATGTCAGCAGTTTACTTCACCCACTTAGAAATGACAATATTTTAATCATCAGGTAGAAAAGCCACTTACTGAAGAGTAAAGCAAGCAAGCACGGCAGCCTGCAGCACACACTTAAAAGCACAGCAGGCCTCACAGTCTTGGAAGGAGAGACACTGAAAATAATTTGGGAGTCCTGGCAGAAAGTCAGCCTAACACAAAGGAGATTTACTCTAACCTTGACATGTGATACGGTGGTAACTGCTTCTGAAAGACTGGATGTCTCTTGCTAAAAATGGCTCAAGCATGTGCTGACTGCAGAAATTACTGTGAGAAACCCTAAATGTATGGCCTCTTCACAGTCTGAAGAACACACTTTATGGCCTAAACTGGACTACAGCCATATGATTACCATGTGCTCCCTCCAGCCCTCAAGATATTGACCTAGGCATCTTTCACAGAGATGGGTTTGTCGGGTTTTTGTTTTGGTTTATGTGTGTTTTTAATTAGAAATCACAGTAGCAATGTGCTTTAAAAAGGAACCCTTACAATCCCATCATCTGTGGGAACTGTAACAGGAGGGCAGGTTCTGTTAATGAAATTCTAATTTTCTCAGGAATACCTTATTAGGTAAAGAACTCTCCCCCATCCACACACGCAGGATTAAAAGTTTCATTTGTTTCATTAAATGCCAGGAGGCACTCTCTGCTTACAACTGATGCCAGCAACACCTTCCCTCAGTCTTTTAAAGTCTAGTGATGAACTACAGCAATTTTACCTCTTGTGGGCTTCCCTGGTGCATCAAGCCTGATGCATAATTTCTGTGTCTGGAGGCTTGCTCTAAGTGACATAACCAGTATTAATGCATTAGTCCTCCTACAAGGCTTTACCCTGACTGCTGTTAAAGTGAAGTTTCATTCCTCTCTTTGCACTCAGGCTGAGCAGGCATCCCACAGGGTGCTCCACAGCAGGGATTTCTCCAGAAATCCACCAGAGATTTGCTTCCCACTGCCTTCTCCCTAGTCCATCACCTGTGACAGCAGCTCCCAGTCTCTGCACTACAGAGAACGTGGCATGGGATCAAAACAGGCAATCCCCAGTGTCTGGGAAGCTGCTGGTCCCACAGTGGACAACCCAAGGCATTCTCTGAGTGGCTCCACATGCTGCAGTTGCTTTGGTGGGTGGGGAGAGCCCTGGCCCATGGGCTCAGTGATGCTCCTCTCTAACAGCCTCCATCCTCAGGACAAAAGTATTTCTACCTGGTATTGTCTGACTCAGACAGGGTCTGATGCTGCGAGTACTGCTAGTGCTTTTTTTTTTTGTGAACAAGAAGAAATTCTGGGAGCTCTCTGCCTTTTGGGGTAAAGGCCTGGTACTCAGCAGACTCAGACTGGTTATACCAGCTACACTTTGCTTGCTTTTTGTTTTTTTTACTTCCTAAATCCGATTGGGATACTTCTCATAAATTCCATTATTGCTTTTTGAGTGACTTTGTATCTATTGAACTTTGAAGTGGGACCTGCACTGGAAAAGAAGAAAAAGGCATTCCTCCACTAAGTTGGAGGCTGTTCATTCAGCAGTCAGGGCAAGGTGTATCAAATTTTTCATTTAACCATCATTAAGCACAGGATATTAAGAACAGAAATGACACTTCACTATTCACAAAAGGTGCTGTCATTAGATAAGCTTCTCTCCAAGGGCAGCATGGTGAAGAGATTGCTTTTCAAAGGTGGGACTGAGGCCAGAGTCCCCAAGAAAAAGAATTTTTGGGCTGACAAATCATAACAGGCCACAAAAGAAAACTGAAGCAAGCTTTTAACGCCCAAGTCATGAGCTCATGCAGTCCCTAAATAGCTTAACAATAAGTCATTTTGGGCTATCTGGCTTCATTTCCTGGTGATGGAAGTGAGATTGGAAGGGGAAGAACAGCATATTTCTTTACTGGGCACGGACGCTCAATGCTGTATTTCTCTCAGAGTGCGGCTACGCCATTCAACACAACTCAAAATTGCACTGTGAGTTGCAGTGCCAAGTCCTGCTCCAGAGAAGGAGACTGCCAAATAAAATACAGTGAAAGAGTCAGCGTTCCTTTGTAAATGGATATACTTGATATGTGGAGGACTAAGCATCCATGTGACTCTTTAGTGCTGAGCAAAGTCTGGCATCGTGGATGAAAATATTGTTTGCATTTCAATTTGCCCTTTCTAAATGTAGTAGTATTTCTAGTGATGTTCGTTTTGATGTGCAGCACTACTTCATTCAACAAGAGATTTGCAAGGAGCAGGAATGAGAAAGCAGAACATTACTTTAAATGTCACTAGAAAATGAAAATACAATCTGTGTCTGCAAGGATAATTGGGCAGAGATATTCAGGGAACCTCTCACAAGGAGATGAAGGGGGGCAGAACCCAGTGCATCTTGTTATGACAGTAATGCCTCCCAGTTTTTCCAGACATCCTGCAAGAGCCAGGCATATCAGGATAAAGCCACCAGACTGCCTGGCCATGATAACTGCTGCCTTGGGGATGTCACTGCAACTCATCAGCTCCCCTCAGACAGCTGGGTGTGCACCCAGACACCACCCACACAACAGCATCACTGGCTCCACAAAACTGACCAGGCAGAGCCAGCCTCATTACCTTGTATATACACTTGTGTAAGTCGCTAAGAACTCCATCCTCCTCCTCCTCCTCCTCGTCCTCCTTCGTGGTCTCCTTTTCCTGAGCAAAGAGCCGCCGCCTGCCCGTCTTCAGTGGGACGTCGACCTCTTTTAACTTGTTGCGGAAGCCATTTTTGTGAACCACGCCATTGATGAGTCCATTTTTGGGCTCAAACCGGGGCAAGGAATGGAACTTGTAGGCATTCTCTGAATGTCCCTCCAAAGGTCCTTTCCTCTTCTCCAGGATTTCCTTTTCCAGCAAGACCTCCTTCTCCAGTTTCTTGTGCTCCTCGGGGGAGAGGGAGTCATAGGAGAGCAAGTACTGGCAGTAGGCTTCTTGTAGCTTGGCCAGCCTGTCCTGTGCAGTTTTGGGGATGCGCAGCATGTCTGCCAGCTTGTTCCATTTCTTGAGGTCAGTCACTTGCTGCATCCCCCCCATCTCGTTGATCAGCTGGACGAAGCAGGCCAGGTCGAGCTCGCAGCCTCCTGGGGTCCAAATGTGCCAGGCAGCAGAGGAAGGGAAGGGGAAACACAGGAGCAGGTTAGAAAAGCTGTGGGCAGCTCAGGTCAAATGAACTACCAGGCTGGGCACACAGGGGACATGACAGCTCCAGGCACCTGGGCATCAGAGCGGAATTGTCCCTCTCTTATATGCCTCCTGCTAAAGAGAGGCACGCACCACTGTTTTGCCAGCTTAATTCATTCACAGGCCGTATTCTGCTACTTGCAACAGCCCTCCCTATGATCCAGTTTGCTCTCTTCCTTGAGTTTCATGTCCTTCTCTGCTCAGAGCACCCCAAACTATTTCCTTGATGTGCATCTGTGACCTGGTTATTACCCAGCAGCTGGGCAGGTGAGAGTTGCCCAGCTCTGCAAAAGCCCACACCCCATCACCCACCACCAGTCCCACATCTGGTTCATACCAGGAATAAAAAAAAAAACAGTGTCAAGCTGGGGCACTGGCCACCAGAAAGACATATACCTATCCTTTCTGGAGGTGAAATAACAATTATTTAATATCTGCACAACACCTTGAATGAAGTTAGTATTTAAAAGGAGCACAGTAACATCATTAATTTCACTACAAGTAATAAAATCCATATAAAAACCAAAGGGAGGCAAGGGGTTGCTTGGGGTTGGAGCCTGCAACTGCATAAAAGGTTCCAGACACATTATTCTTCCAGTCTGAGGCCATCCATATTTTATACTTCATTCTAGTTTTGTATGCTTTAAGATGACTAGCACATTTCACACTCTACTCAAATAAAAAAAAAGAAAAATAAGGAAAAAAAAAAAAAGAAGAAAATGGATTATACAAACTGCAGCATAAAAAGCAGCCAAATGGATGAGGAACAATAAAAGAAACATCATAAATACTCTGAAAGCACAGAAATAAATCATCCGTGGAAAGAGTGAAGAAACAGCCCAAAGACCACCTACAATTCAACAGGGCGCTGTTCAAGGAAAAAAGAGAATTAATACAAAACCAGCGTCAACATCTCTGCCGCCACACTGTCTCCCCTTTGCCTTTTCCTTTGAGGAAAGTAAAGAGCCATTATGCCATAGCCATTTCCAAGCACTCAGAAATGCCACTGCAACAGAGGAGGGCAAGAAGCAGCATTATGGTAAATATTTACTGCAGGATGCACAGCTACATCATCTTATCATTTTGCCTGCTAGCACAAGTAGGATTACTTTTCTCAAACTACCCTGTGCCGCATCTCAGATGCTTCAGTGCTGATTCCAGTGTTCCTCCCTCCCTCTGCTTTCCCCTCTTCCACCACTTGTGCAAATGCAGTGATGAGGGAAGCTCAGCAGTGTAAACCTGCGTGCAACATTTTGGGACAATGGCTGTGACTGGGGCAGAGCAGCACCAGAGGCTGCTGACATTTATACTGCCCACACAGCACAAGGCAAAGGTGTTTGGCTGCAGACAAAACCAAGCATAAGGCTTTGAGTAGAATATGATAAGGGCGGAGGCGAAAACACAAGGCAGCAGATTTATCCTGTTTGGGAGTCCCAAATATTCCCAAATTCCCATTTGGGAATGGGGCGGGGAAGATTTTAAAAAGGTCTTGAAGCTGAGAAAAAGTAAACGTCATTGGGAGAAAAAAGCTAAATGAGTTTGGAAAGTTTTCATTCTTTCCTTTTTAATCTTCCATACATAACGCAGTAAAAAAGTAACTTCCAAGAGGGCTTCTGTTCTTTTTTTGGTCAGTGGTTTCTAGGTGCAGGCCACAAATTAGCTGAAGGTGTAACTCAAGATAGCTTTCCATACCAACAGATTCAGCAGTCTACATGAAGTTGGGTAACATACTCCTAACCTGGAGAGAAGTGTGGCCCAGATTTACCATTATATGTTTTCTCCAGCACACACCCACTTTTAAGGTCCTAGTTTCAGCACTGTTGAAAATTCAATTTTCTCCCGCATCATGGAATGATCACTCATAATCACTCTGCAATATCAGAGCTCGAGTAGCACTTCATTCAACCAGAGCCTAATGCTAAGGTTTGCAAAATGCTCTCAATTATAATTCCATTTCACACAGTCATAACTTTTGGAAGCATTTGTATCTCAGACTGATGTTTTCCAGGATTGACCTAAGCTTGCTGCTTAAACTTTCCTTGAAAGACTGAAGAAAAAAAAAAAAAAAAAAAGAAGGGAAAACAGCAACAGCAAAAGAGTTCTAAACTCTTTAAAAGCACCTATAGCAAAATGGCTTAAATAGGAGATCCAGCATGTTATACAGAGGCAGTGTTTAACTTTTTTTTTTTTTAATTGCCTTTATTTTCATAAGTTAGGAATACTTTTAAATTGCTTAGTGAGCAAGCTCATTTTTAAGAAAATCTTAAATCTTCAGGTATGCAGTTAATACCAAATGCTGGCACTAAATGAGCCATTGGCAAAAGTCCCATTCACTTCAATGGAAATGTGATTTAGCCCAGAGAGAAGGGCTATGTATGCAGGTATACTTAAATAAGTGTGCATTTATCAGCACAGATTATATGTTTCCTGATAGAACCAACAGATTTTTCCTCTTAGTGCACTGATGATCTCCTGCTTCTTTTCTCCATTTTGTTTCGATTTTAAACACAGGATAGGTGGGAAATTAACTGCAGAAAGGATGCATAGGATGCAAATTTGTAAGAGACAATTTGTTTGCTCTGGTTATATGGCACCCAGCAGAATAGAATCCTTGCCTATTCATTAGGCTCTTAGGTGCTTAAATATTACAAATAATTAACAGTAATGCTATCTTAATGCCGAGTTAAGGTATTTCATTAGAAAGTTAACATTGTTCCAGGAGCGTTAATCGAGCTGTCTTGCACATTTTCTTCTCTCTCTTGCCAATGTAAATGTAATTCATTATTCTTTTCTATTAGCATACAACCATTGCATACATTAGGCATACAAAATGTTCACTTATTGCTGCTTGAGTGATTTTAATTTTCAGATTTCCTTGAACGTTTTTGCACGGTTATTGCAACAAAGCGCTAACCCCTCGTTTCCTCCTTCTTAAAATTTTGTTATTTCTCTGCTGCGCCCTGCATCAGTTCACCATAAAGTCTGCAATCATTTTGTGTGCTTTTATGCATTTTCTCCCCACTTACCATATGTGATATAAAATAAAGTTTAAAAAGGAGGAGGCAGGGGGGGAAGGAAGTGTTGTGAATCGTTTAAACAGAAAAGCGTGTCCTTTAATCCAACCAGCGCCGAGAGCTGCCTCGGGCCGGATAATGCCTCAAAGGCAAAACTCTAGCCTCCAGTTGCATGCAGGTCCTGTGAGCTCATGACTCAAAACACCTCGAAAACAAAGGGAAGAATGAACAAAAATCAAAACCACAGGTTTCTTACTATGCGGTGGCTGCAAAGGCAGCAGAGATGGAGGCAGCTCATTCAACAGTTCATTTGTATGCTGCTGTTGTCACGTTTTTACAAACTATTGTCACATTTTTGTCACGTGTCATATCTGACAGCAGACCATAAACCAAGAATTCTGTTAAATAAGTGATTCTCACTCAGGCATTAGCCCTGGCAGACACCTGCTGGGAGAAATAATGAAACCTCCATTTTGCAATCAACTACATTTTACTGCCTATTCTTGACACTTAATGGTTGTTAAATGTCAGCAGGTCACTGCAAATTTGTGATTTTAAGTGTCTGAGTACCCAAACACAAGTCAGTTCTGAGATATTTTCTTTCCCCTTTGGTTAAATGTTTTTAAAGGAAGAGGCGGGGAGAAAAATGTTATTAAAGCCTGGCAGCATCGCAACCTGTTAGGAAAACATCTTTGGAAAGGTTCAAAAATATTCTGAGACAACCTTTAAAACAAAGTTAGGCTATCAATATACACAGTCACACTACCCACATAAGTAAACAGCAGAGAAAGAAGAAGATTCTGACATCTCTGACAACCTACCTGCATCGTGCCTGGCCAAAGAAAAGAGAGAGATTCAGAGCTCTGAAGTGTTGATTGAATAGGGGTTTGGTTAAGCATAAAGACAAACGGAGCATAAAGTTGTACACGGACACCGAGAAGCAGCGGCAAAAGGCCGAGGAATCACAGCCCTTACCTATGAGTGGGAGTTCATCCATGGTAATGCCCTGAGATTTGAGGTGCTTCTTGATACAGGCCAGCCGCTGCACGTTGGGTCCCCAGCGCCTGCCTAGCTTGTGTATGTGCTGAATCTGTGTCACAAACCGCATTTCATCATTTAGCTTGCACTCAGGTCTCCAGTCTGAAGGAGGAATCACCCTGCACATCCCATACTTCTCTACCTGAGCTCGGACTGACTCAATGTATATCAGTGGGTCATGAAATTCCTTGGTGGAGGGCCTAAGGATGGGAATCTCCCCCAGCATCCCCCACCCAGACTTACTACTGCCCTTTTCGTGCTTTCCCATTGAGTCTTGTGGCTTGTGCAAGGACTCCGCTTGAGAGGTAGAACGATTTTCACAGGAGGCATTTTCAGTTTTGCCATGTGCTTGTTTCCCTGGCGTACTCTTTCCAGCAGTGGCTCTTTTCGGCCTATTTCTTTCCAAACTCTTCTCTGGCACTTCCTTTCTAAGGTGTCCATTCAGCAAAGGCTTTTCTACTGCTGCCTTTTTGCTGGCAGCTTCTGCCAAGTTGACGGCCCCTTTCATTCTCTTGGTGGGCGACTGTATTTTGTCTATGTGACTCGTCTCTTCCAGCCTCCTCTTCGAATTGCGCAGCCCCTCCCTTAACTGTCTCCCCACCTCCTTAGTGCATGTCTTTTGGTTCAACTTGCCATTGACTTTTACACCATTAACAGCGGTATTGTTAGACTTGGATGCTCCAAGGGATAGCACCTGTTTGCGGGTTTTTGCATTGCTACTTTCTATTTTCCCTGAGATTGTGTGGTTGACAGGTGAACTGGGTTTGTGGTGATTTAGTTTGGTTTCCTTGACCAGTTCTTTCTTGGCTTTGGTGTATGTGACAGTTCCCTTTGTCACTGTTGCAGTGTACTTCACAGTTTTGGACGGTGAAGGTCTGACTTCTCTCATCTTTTTGGCACTGGCTGCATTTGCACTCGGAGATGACATTCGAGTGACCCCGTTGACTTTAGAAACCTGAAATGCCAGGAGTGTTGTACGAGGAGCAGAAGGAAGGAAACACAAAACAGAAAAGTAAATGAATAATGTGACCACTCAGTCTCGATTTCCCATTTGCTGGACAGCCATATTCTCCAGTCCCGACTCCTGGCTCCGTCATACACTCTTCATATAATGGTTTGCACACAGGCAAGAGAGGAGACTAGGCATTTCTAATAATAAAATAAAATAAAAATTTGGAGTTCTTTTGATTTACCAGAAAGCCCCCAGTCTTGCCTTCAGAGGTTACAAAGCCTCTGGCATTAGGAAGATTGAGGTCCCTTGCCTGCACTACCCCCTCCCTTGTCTACCAGAAACACAGACAGTCTGATTTACAAACTAAAACCTTTATTACCTCTTTTTCTGGCCTTCCAGACTCTCTCTCCCCCCCACCCAACCCTCCTTTACATGCACACACATTTCACTACTTCTTAGCAGGCAAAATAGGCAGCATATATTATCTACTCTAACTGGAATCTGCACATTTGCAAAAAACACACCGAGATTCAAATCGATTTACCTTCTATCCATGCATACATACAAAAAGAGATGTGGCACACATTATGCACCAAACAGATCAGCATGGCCATGAAGGATCCAGTCTGTCATACATATTACATTTTAGGCAGCATGTTGTTGCTGAAGTTGGTAATTTGAAATTAAAAAATGCATACCGTAGTCCAATGTAATTTTTTTCTTAAGTTTGGTATATGTGCAATTTTACTGACACATATTCTATTAGTTCATATTGTGCCAATGCAGCTTAGAATTGCTGGACTCTGCTGCTTTCTGTTAGACATTTAAACCCAGTTATGAGACTAGAATTTGTATTTTAACTGAAAGATGTCTTAAGGACCAAAAGCAACCCCCATCTAGAAAGGGAATTCAGACAGCTCAGCGCTGCCAAAGCTAAACCCCACTACTAAAAAAACAAAGCTCAAGTTTAAAACTGAAACAAATTTCAGCATTTACACAACTTTATACATTGTCATCTCACCTCCTTAAATGACTGTAAGCACAGAAAAGCACATCCAAAAGTCAGAAACATTGCTAAAAGAGCTCAAAGTGAAAGCATACAGTACAATCACACCCCTTATCAGCACTCAGGTGAGTAACACCATTTCCTGGAGAGTTGTAACACTTTCTCCTGTGGGATTTTGAAATTCTTGCCAAATCATTAAGCATGGAAGCTTCTCCCAAATAAATGCAAGAACTGCAGTCACTTATATAACAAAGATGGTACAGGGATCAAATAGAGGCTGCTTAAAATACAGTGCTATGGTCTTGCATGCAGTGACTTGTGGAAGGGGAATTGGAACCTGAGGATTCTGCACACACACACTCACGTTTATGGACATTTTCTCCTCTGCACTCCAGAAACTGGAGCAGGAGTAATGATCTTTTAAAAACCATCCATATTCTTGTCCTTCCTGTGCTTGAAAGGTAGAAACACTTAAGGAAAATCCAGTTAACTGATGACATGAGTTTTTACCTTGAGTTTTTCAAAGATGTATGAGGTATCATATGGAAAGCAAACAATTACAAACAGAAATGCATTTACCCATTTCCCTTGAAATTTAAGCAGTACTCCATACTTGAAATGAAGGCCTGGATTTAACTTTCACAGCACTTTTTCATGCTGCAGAACAAACATGGGTAGAGAGCTGCTGAGACGTTGCCTCTTGCAGCAGTCACAACAAGCGCTGAACATCCCTAGATTTATAAATAGCTAGGAACATCGATTACAGATTTCACCTAGACTAATAGAGAAGAATTGATTGAGAACTGGGAGGGGAAGGTAATTTGGGTGACAATGATCATAAAATGGCTTTCCATTTCTAAGATGTGATGACAGTAGAGAAAGGACAACAGACTTCAAAAAACAACAAAAACCAACCAAACAAACAAACAAAAAGCCAACAAAACCACCCAACCAGAAACAAAACAGAAGAAAAGAAAAATCTACCTGAAAAAATCAAAACCAAAGCAATTTCCTCTCAGAGGAAAGGCATAAAGCACAGGCCATTATGGCTGTTCATGAAGTTCTCTAATGACTGGAAAATTAGAAAATGATCACAATAAAAAGTGATAACACAATTATGTGACTAAGGACAACTATATAGGAAAAGAAAAAGCACATATTAAAATCCAAAAGGCCAAGGAGCTAAAGAAACTGCAGTTAGCAAGAGACTAAATTAGGAAAAAAAAAAAAATATTAATACCTTAAAAATACAAGATAACAAACAATGGATGAGATAAAGCACCACACAAGGAAGGATAACAAATAGCCTGATTAAAGTGTTCCTGCTTCTTTTGCATTAACCTTCACCAGAAGTGCCACTGACTGAATATTTATTGGATACAGAACATAATCCATTTCAGCAAAAAGGCTAGGATAGCAACCTCAGTCAGGTAAAAGATACCTGGAAATAAGCTAGGAGCAGACAGAGTCTACCTAATTTCAAATCCTAAAATAAGTGTACAACAAATCATCAAACAGTCAATTTGAAAACACACAAACTATTATAAAATAATATTAAAAAAACAACAAAATCTACCCAGGGTTTTGCCAAAATAGCAAATCAAACAAATTTAGTCATCTTCTGACAGACACCTGGCTGAGAAGGTAAAGAAGCACCTCTGCTTCATCAGGATTCCAGACACTGTCCCCTGTGACATTCCATCAAACTCCTGAGACACAACTCAGATTTTATTACTCCAAAGTGGCTTCACAAGGGACTAAATAAAGGCGTCCTCAAGAAAAATTTTCATTGTTATAGCTCACTATTGTTCTGGGAGGGCATTTCATGTGTCTTTCTGCAGGGATTTGGCTTTGCCTTGGTTCTAACCAAGTATTTTCATGATTGTAAAATCTTGACACAGTGAAACACATCTGGAAGGAAGAGGCTGTAATCACTCACAGGACAAGATAAAAATCAAAGGCACTCCTGAAGAACCTATTTCAGAACATTTCTACAGTAAGAGGAAGTGCTATATTTAGGAGGCACAAATCATATACATGCAGGGGAAGAATAACACTTGGGGACTGCAGCAATGGCAATACAAAGCACACAAATCCCTTTCTGAGACCTATTAATTAGGATGTTAAAAACAAAGGGTAAGAGCACAGGCTTTCCCTAAGGAAAAATTTTATGAGAAAAATTTTGATAGAGGAGCAAGTCTAAAAAAACACAAGGTGCTCAGGTATTTGGAAAATAAGACTCTTGATGAAAAGCCATGGGATCTGGTCTTACTGTGAAAGAGACAGTAAATGTTCTTTCCATGTTCACTGGGAAAAGTAGGAGGAAAAATTCCCTTCAGATGTCTACAATGATCTGAGGCACAACTAGGAAAACTTGCTCATTAGTAGAAAAGAAAAACACTGGAAGAAGCTGTAAATGGACATTGTGGAATCTCCTCTACAGAAGGTTTTCAGAAGGTTTCAGGAGGCTATAGCTGTATTACTGTGCTGCCAGGTATAATCAAGAAAAAACCTCAGTGTGAGCAGTCAGGCTGCATGGAGGCACCTTGTACTCCAGCCTGCTGATGATTTTTTCTGAGGAAGTTGTGACCAGAAGTCTGAAGAGCCACCCAGGCACTTCTGCAGCAAGAGCTTGTGGCACAGGGGCTGAGAACAGAACACAGTAAAGTGCTCATGGATAAAGGCAATATCCTCACAGCTTCTCCTATTCAAAGCAAAACATGTCATGGGCACCATCAGCTTTAAGATAAAACCTCCAATCCCAGATGGTAAGCACAATATTTTGAATTTTTATTCAAACTTATCATGGAGTCCAACCATTAACCCAGCACTGCCAAGTTCACCTCTAAATCATGTCTGTAAGTGCCATGCCAACAGATCTCTTTGATATCTCCAGGGATGGTGACTCAATCACATCCCTGGGCAGGACATTCTAATACCTGACCCCACATTTTCAGCAAAGAATTCTTTCCTAATACCCAATCTAAACTTACCCTGGTGCAACTTGAGGCAGTTTTCTCTGGTCCTATTTCTTGTTATCCAGAGGAAGAGGTTGAGCTCCACCTGGCTACACCCTCCCTTCAGGCAGTTGTAGAGCAGTAAGATGCCTCCTGAGCCTCTTTTTCTCGAGGTTCAATGCCCCCAGCTCCCTCAGCTGCTCCTCATCAGACTTGTGCCCCAGACCCTTTCCCAGCTCCACTGCCCTGCTCTGGACCCGCTCCAGCCCCTCAAAGTCTTCCTTGTGGTGAGGGGCCCAGAACTGAACACAGCACTCGAGGTGTGGCCTCACCAGTGCTGAGTTCATGGGGACAATCACAGCCCTGCTCCTGTTGCCCACACTGCTCCTGATACAGGCCAGGATGGCATTGGCCTTTTGGCCACTTGGGCACGGACTGGCTCTTGTTCAGTCACTGTCGACCAGCCCCCCCAGTTCTTTTCTGCTGGGCAGCTTTCCTGCCTCTCCAGATCCCTTGCAGAGCCTTTCTACCCTCAGCAGATCAGTGCTTCTGCCCTCTTCGTGTCGTGTGTGGAACTGACTGAGGGTGTCCTCAATCCCCTTGCCCTGGTCACTGATGAAGATGTTAAACAGGACTGGCCCCAGTACTGAGCCCTGGAGAACACCATGGGTGACCAGCTGACAAATGGATGTAACTCCATTTACCACCACCAGCCATCCAGACCGTGTTTAACCTAGCTAACACCCATCCAAGCCATGAGCAGCCTGTTTCTCTGAAAGAATTGTGTGGAAGGTTGTGTCAAAGGCTTTACTGAAGTCCAGAGGGACAACATCCACAGCCTTTCATTCATCAACTAGGTGAGCACCTAGTAGGAATAAAGTGACTGACATTAGCCTTACATGAAAGTCTTGAGACAAAGGTGAAAGTAGTGATATAAATAATCTTATCTCTGCTTTTCAGCTATGTTCTCAGTTTAGGACACTGACATACAATTGTCTTCAGACCACTCTTTTCTCTCCTTAACTGAACACTTGCCCTGCAAGTGGTATGGTATGGCAGATTTTAAATTTTGTCTTTATTACAAAAAAAAAAGTGGCAAGCACAGTCTTGCAGCAATGGGTTTGTTAGATTCAAACTGGTCTACATACACAACTCTGCATAGCACCTAGGATTCAGCCTCCAAAACCCTACACAAAAAATAAATAACCTCCTAGATAGCAACCACGGTGATAAGAGCAACATTAGCGACATTGACAACAGTTTTGGTGCCAAACAAATCCAAGTTATGCAACTGATCCTGAATTCATTCATAAAAATAGTTCTGTGCTTGTAAGTTGTGCAGAGGTAAATTACCATATAAGGCCAAGAGAGGGCCCCATTGAACCACATTTCCTTTGCTCACAACCCTTTAAAGTAGGAAGACTTTGGAAGATGGCAAAGGAGAAAGCAAAAGAGATAAGGAGCCTGTGACAAGTGCAAAGGCACACCAGAAGAAGAAAGACAGAAAAATAGAAACAGAGAGGACAACAGAAAATCTCTGGTAATTTCTAGTGTTTCTGCCTTTATTTTCTTTAAGACTTAAAACAAAAACACACATAAATAAACCATGCAAATGCAGTGATCAAGAAGCAAAAATATAGTGGAAGGAGGAAGAACATGTGGCTGGCACCCTGGGAGAAAATTCTCATTTTGTTAAATACTGAAAAAGTCAAAGACTCAGGACCAGCAAGAAATTTAGCAGTGTCCCATAACTGGTAACTCTATGGTTTTGTACAGAACTAACGCTTTCTGTCAGGCAAAACATATAATCCACTTTTAATTAGGTAAGAGTCACATTTTCATTAAAATGTGTAAGAAAATACTTATGGCACTGTGGGGGTTGCAGAAGAAAATGTAGGTGCCTAACCATTTTTCAGGAAGAAAAATAAAAAAAAAAAGAAAGCCCACATCATTTGACTTAAACCCCTCCTTATTTTCTGAAGCCTGGGGAGACCCTTGCTGATGTGTCCATGTGGTATGACTGCTGATTGTACTGCACTGCTTTAAATTTTTCTCCATTGTGTGTCACAGAATCAAAAACATTTAATACTCTAGGAAGCAAAACCACTTGGATTGCAGACAAAACTGTTCTACACTAGTCTTTTTCCTTTCAGAACTACCTTCAGAAGCAGCAGCAGTTGACTTTCACAAAAGTTTTAACCAATCCAGCTCTGATGATACAACTTTAAAGCATTTCACACAACTGTTTCAATAGGTTAAAAGAATTAAGAACTGCATTCTTATGTTTGGAGAAACTTGTTAAACACCATGAGCTCATGACAGAGCATGTCACAGCAAGAATCATAAGATACTGGTAATCACAAAAAAAAATAAATCAAAAAAAGCAGACATTCACACTGATGCCTAGATAAAGGCAAACTGCCATGGTGGAAAAAAGAACTGAAGTCTTACAGAGGTACAGACAGACTGTGAACAGCCTTCAGGATCTCAAATCTGATTTAGAAAGTAATACAAAATCAGTGGAGGCATTTCAGGAGAACTTAAGCCACCACTGAAACACACAGCATTAAAGATTTCCTCAGCAAGATCATCATTGCTTTTTCTTTTGCCATTTTTAATTTCCAAGCCTGTGATTCAGAGGTGCCATTTAAAGGCCTTGATAGCCCTCTACAAGTTGGCAATTCCATCTCCATTGAGGACCAGGTCAGCCTACTTAGAAGGAAAACCTTTAGGTGTCAGCAAGTAAAGACTGTCTCAAATCAGCCTGTTGAGAATTCATCACTGCGAAACAACCAACCAATCAACAACAAAGCAACAAATGAACCAAACAGAAAACACAAACAAAAACAAAACCAAACTCCAACCAAACAACCAACAAAAAAAACTCCACAGACAAAAACAGGGTGGAAAAAAGCCCCACAAAAAAACAAACCAACGAAAAAAACAACCAAATCAACAGCACCCCATCCCCAAAAAAATCCAAACCCAAAATTCCCAAAAGGCTGAAGTCAGCAAGCTTTCTGTACTGCACTGCCCTGGTCTGCTAACCCAGCCCCAGCCTGAATAAGGACTGAAAGACCAATCTGCTGAAGTTTCACACCCGAATTCAAATTAAGTTGAAACAAATCTCTTGCTGAATCTTTTTGCTAGCTTTCAACCAAGTAACATGGAACAGTAAAACTGTCTCACATCAGGTACCTCCACTGTGAAGGAGACAGTATTTTGGAGCATCTTTATGCATCAGGCGAAACATTTGTCCCAGACTCTGAGGTTTGTGTTGCCCATGTGCAAACCAAGGCACATGAGGAATATGTCAGGTTCTCCAGAGCACCAGTGAGCCCCTGAGATAAATCACACAGACCAGCTCCTTCTTCCACGTGCTGCCAGCATTGGCACTGTCAGCACACAGTGCCAGTCAGAAAGGTTTCATAAACATCAGTGGGAACTTTCTCTTTCACATGAATATACCAGATAATTAAAAGAAAGGGTTGTAAAGCACACTTACTTTATCATACTGACTTCCCATGTATATATTTTTCCTTTTTCCTTTTTTTTTTTTTAATCACTGAAAATTAACTCCCTGCTGTTTCAGAGCAAGCTTTTAAGGTTTGCCACATTCAGTGTAAACCATGCAGTGGAAAAAGCAGCTTAGAACCTTAACAGCTTTTGTTTCACGTGTGTCCACAGTAGAATACAGCTTACTATTACCTGTTTCCTTAAGTCCTGAGCCGATCTGTGAAGAGTGTGGTGGTTGTTAGCCGTGAGCCCTTTCGTAGAGGAGCCAGTGTTTGTAGTAGCGTGGTGATTAGCAGCAGCCTGGTCTTTTCGACTCTCAGCCTTATGTTCGCTGTTCCTCTCCTTCCCTGGGGTGGCCTCTTTGCTTTTGTGTTTCTGAGCAGGTTCTTTCTCCTTCGATGATTTGCTGGACCCATTGAAAACTGAGAAGAGAGAAAATCAGGTTATTAAGGGAAAAACAAGAAAAGGAAAAGTATGCCAGACAAAACACTTCATTCAAAACATCACAATTTTGTCTGCACTCAGTGTTGGTTATTTAGTGAATGCCTTCTTACATCCAAAGCTAAATCAATACAGAAATAGCACTATTTTGCATATTTCTTTAGATGAACAGATTTACTAAAGTATTTCCTCTGCTTGATAGCACACATTATCTTCAATAGCCAAATTAAAACATACAAGGTATATTACTGTTTTGACTGACCTAGATTTAGAATTCTGGGTTTGATTTTTACTTATGACAGTTTTAATTATCTTTTTTTGCTCTCGCAGTGAGGGAATTCTAAACATAACCTAAAGAGAAAAAAGGTTTATTTTTATACCAATGTAGAAGAAAGGAAACGTTCCATGAAAAAGCATGTTTTGTTTTTGTCAATACCCAAACTGCTGAATCAAACTGACAGCAGTTTGCCTATAGCAGACAAGCTGCAAATAGAAAAAGGTACTTCTGCAAAGGAAGGAAAATATTAAAACCGTTTTGGAACATGTGACATGAAGTAACACTGGGACCTATGCTGAGCACCGTTAACTTTTAAATGAAGGGATAAGAAAGTGTGGAACAGACACCTTTCTTTTTTGTACTATAAATATTATGTGAATGTATATAAGCAAGTTTTGTTCCTGTCTCTCTGCTGAATTTATTTAAGAATAGTCACTGCTCTTGTGTTGTCAGGGAACGTGAAAAGCTGAAGCTAAAACAAACAAACAAAAAATCACATCACATTTCTCTGTTTGTTAATCGAAAGTGTGCTGAATTCATGTCAGTGATGTCCCCTCTTTAGTGGAGCACTTGACAGAGGTTTGCAAGGCTTATGATCCAACATCCACAATGGCAAATGCCCTCCTGCCTTTTACTCGATTTCTACCTCTGTCTTTCTTCGACATGGTTTAGGAAAGGATGCAAACAAGAAACTTCATAAATGCTTAATAGCACAACTATGTGAAAATCTTATTTATTACACAAAAGATACACCATCTGTTTGGGAATAGTAACTAAATACACGAAGTTACTGTTTTCTTGTGAAATGAAAGCCTTTTTTTGTCACTAAAGATGATATTCCTGCAACATATACCTTCTTATCTAATTTGTGAAGTTCAGCTGTCCCTACACATGTAGCATATTAACAGCAGGAGCAGCAGTAAGTAATAAAAAAAAATAATAAAAACCCAACAATCCCACTGGACAGGGATCTCCTACTGAAGAGGGGCAGCTAAGCTGCTTTTGAGCAGACCCTACTTCCAAACCTTCCCACAGCTGGAACCCCAGCAAACTATTGGCAAAGTCAATTTTCACGTCACCGTATTTTCAGTTCCCTTATCCTATTCAGTCAGTCGTAAGTGTTGAAGCAGGTTACTTAAAAAAAAACAAACTGCAATTGCTTTTCCTCCTCTCTTCCTTCCCACTTGCATAAATGGAGTAAGAATGAGAGAAAAGCTGTCAGCAGTGGAGTCACCACAAATTTCCCCATGGTTCTGTTGCCCCTGAGCTCAGGAGCAACTGGTGTCAAGGATTTCTCAGTGATGTCTGTGAAAATCACCTAACCCTTTGTATCTCATTTCCAGTGGTGGAACTGATAATAATTGCCAACCCCTCTCAGGAAGTTCATGACAATATATTCATCCTCCTTTGTAAGGAATTCTCACATCAGATGGAAGGCGCTACAGATGCACAAAGCACAACTATTTATTTTTAGTAAGACATAGCACAAACAGCCAATGGCTGCTTTGTTAATATGTATTTTATCATTTAGAGTGACACCTTCCTTTGAAGGGAACAAGTTGTAAATACCGATCTGCTCCTACGGAAACATTCAAATCAGAGATTAATTTTCTGTAATCAGCTGCCACTTTAAAAATCTAAGGTTTCTAAAATAGAAAACACAGCCAAAAAGCCAAATTGGTACTTCTGTGGTTCACCAAATAAAAAATTTGAAAAAAAAAGAAAAAGGAAAAAAAAAAGAAGCAAACATGAGACAAGGTGTATTTTATATGCAACAGCTCATTAAATTTAAGTGTCGTGGGAACCCTGCCAGTTTTACCCTCTGAGTAATTATCTTTTGTCTTAATTTGTAAGATTCTTGAAAAGGGGAAGAGAGAAACAGGAGGAAAAAAATGTTCAGTCTCACAGGAAAAGCTTAAAAACCTTAAGTCTGAAAACACAACAAAGGGAAATGTAGATGCAAAACAGTTTTTGCCACGCTGTCTTACAGTTAAACAGTAGATGGTATCAGTTTCTGTAAAAATCAGTATTTGTTTCTTCCAACACCTAGATTACCGTTATATCCAGCTATAAAACCTTTCTGCAATAGTAACTACTGAAAAATTCACAAATACAGTATGTGAACAAGTATCAAAATGTTAGCTTGATTAATTACAAAATGCTAATGCAAGCCAAGCATTTGCAAGCTGGGGGGAGAATCCCTGAGACTATGATTTTCCTCCCATCTCACTAAAAATGTTGAAGCAAATTATTTAGACAATAAATTTATTTAGTACAATACAGGATTAAACTCTGGCCCCAACAGCTAGTAAGATGGCCCAAAGAAAAAATGTAACACCAAAAAAAAAGGCTAAACCCCCCCACCCCCAAAAATCTCATTTTTGAAGAGTAACTGATAATAAGCCAGCAACACTCACTTCTCAAAGGAAAGAAAACAATAACCTCCAAAAACTCTGCATTAAATATTACTGAGACCAAATCTGATTAAACAATGAAATGATTAACTAATTCTTTTGTGTCTTCTCACGAAGCAAATTGCATTCTCCTTAACGTCTGCCAGCTCTTAAATATTTCTGATGCACTCAGAAAATCAGGAAAGGTGTAGGTTGTGCTTTACGAACCCCAGACGTGTTCCAGGACAATCTCCTGTCTTAGAAATTCTAAATCTGACATTCCAATATCCAATGTTCTGTTCCCAGCCACTTTAGTTCCTTGCTGAAGAGTAGTCAATAAAGGTTTCACCCTTGAAGCAGTAATTTCACTAAAAGGTAAAATGACAAGAAACCAAGTCCAACCTACACTAGTAGTGAAACTTGCACTCCTGAAGCAGAAATGAATATGTAGTTTTTAATTATGATTATTTTATGCTACCTTAACCAACACTTGTTATTGAACACTTGTATTTCCGGTACAGCTTCTTCTTAAAGGTAAGAAGCACTACTAACAAAAAATTAAAAGTGAAAGTAAATTTTTAGTTTTCAGACGCTCCAGATAGAATAAACGGGTATCATTATCCTCATATCCAATAGAATGCTTATTCTCAAAATGCTGTGTCCTCCAAAGCTATTATTATTATTATCTGAAACAATAAGAGTCCCACAGTGAAATACTTGTGGGTCTTTTGGTTAGCAGCGATGATCAAATGCAAAGAAACGCAACCACTACATTCAAAACTCACGAGCACTGGGGGTTTTTAAACCACTGATATAATTTATGGCAGCAGAGCAAAACCTTATGGCAGGCGTGATCCCCACAGATGCATCACAGCGCTCCCTGCATCAGGGGAACTGGACTCTGGGCACCAATATTCACCAGGATCCCGTACTGGGACTTTGGGGTGTCTCATTTGAGACTGTGATAAAGAATCCCTACACAAACCAATACAAACTGTGCAAATTGTGCCCGTATTAGGCGCAGCTATAATAATGTCTAAAAAAATTTTTGGTCTAGTAAAGCCACAGATGTGCTCAATTACTACAGATTAACTAAGCATTTACTACAGGAATTGACACTGCAGTGGGCGATAAACATAATGTGTTTTCAGCAATTTTCGGAAGTATTCCTCCAAATTAATTTGCACACAAACACTTCACAGGATACAGCCAGACAGCCATTCAGAAGCTAATTTATAATATGTACAATAATCAGGCTTTCACTGTGGAGGCAGCAGAATTACTGGACTGGGTTCAGTCAGCTATTGACTCCATGGACAAAGCTTTGTTTCCCAAGCCCTCCTGGAGGTTGTTCCTGCACCTGATATGCTTTATACTTGAGATAACTGGGGAGGTTTAATATGGCCTGCAGAGCACTGAAGCCTTTTGCTGTGTGCCAGGGGCTGGGAGATGAAGGCACAGACCATACACATACACGTGTGCTGCATGTTGCAGAGCCTGCGCGGCACAAAGCAAGTGATTGCGCATTCATAAAACCATCCAGAAGAATGAGGGGAGATAGAGGTGAAAGGGAGAAGTTTTGTTTTTAGAAGGAGAAAAGGGAACCTTGCCAATATTGTGAACCCGAGCCAGCTCTTCCAGTGCAAACTTCATGTTGTTACATAGATCATGTTTGGGAAGAGCTGCAGTATTAATCAACTTTCTGGCATGGAGTATCCATTACTGTACAAAAACATTCTTGCTCTGGCTTTAATTCAGTTCTAAGTCACTGTGAAAACATTTATGTGGCTCTCGAACTGTGTTAAAGGACCCAGGCAATAATTCTTTTCCCCTCCCAGAGGAACTAAAACAACCTTCTACTTCCATAAAACACAGTATTTTAATACTGCCAATTGTTTTTCTTAAATGTTGGGTATGCTCTGACTTCCATAAATCATTTCCAGGGATAGAAGCTGTCTTCTGGAGCCCCCCAACATGCTCTGCCTACTCAGAGTCAAAAGCAAAGGAGTACTTCAGAAGAAAAGGCTGACACCACATCATATGAAGACACGGTATTGCTGTTTCCGCACTTCCCAAGCCTGAATGCAACACCACTCAATTTCTCAGTGGACAACACCACATAAAAATCTCCATAGCTACATGCCAGCAGGAGTCAAACAGGAGAGCCATGGCAGAGAGGTAACACTGAATTTGTTTTTGACACCATCAATAACACAGCTCAAGCCCTGCACGCCCAGGAATATATTGGGCCACCGGGAGAAGCGTTATTGGTATGAGACACCGTGCCACCGCTTGTAAAAATTCAATACCAAGTGTCTCGTCTGAGCACAAATTCATTACTCTCACCTAACCATTACGACACAAACAGCATCAAAAGGGTCACTCACTAAGCAGCAAGTCCATACAAGAAGTGTCTGTCTGCTATCACGAGTCTCGCACCAGGATAACAATTCCATTTTTTTTTATTTTTTTAATTTTTTTTTGAGCAACTTCCAGCTCCCCTATTCTTCTCCACAGGTCATACATCTCGCTACTGAAAATCCGCGAATCCCCAAATGTGTTGTGCCTGATTTGCATATTTAAATATGCAAATTACTGCAAACCGGGTAATTTTCGTGTTACATATTTTTGCAGAAAAATTAAATGTGCAAAAATGTTTATTGCAACAATTACTGGTTCCATGGTCTTTCAACAAAAGGCTGTAAATCATCAAAATAATTGCCTACCCATTAGCTATTGCAGCACTCTGCCTGAAATTTTCTCATTCTTTAAAATACATTTTTCTTCTAAATGTTTACCTCTTCAGGATTAGTTTCACTAGAAATGATGTACAAGCCTAAGGCTCTGTCTCATGTACCCACCCACAAACAGCAAATTCAGTTAAAACCAAACCTAAATAAAGAACTGCAACCATAAATGAGAATTTTCTCACAGCACACTCAAACAGTAACATATGTAAAAGATGTGCCATTCAAGCCCAAGATACACAAACGCTGCATTGAACTATACCCTGAAATAAGAAAAAATCTATCTGCGATCTTTTCCTGCATCATCTTTGTACTGCTACACATGTAAGGAAATTACTCTGCTAAATTATCCATTGCAAATTGAGAAGTGAAATGTTATCCTGTGTTTCTGGTGAGTAAGACAGCACTGAAGAAGAGTATAGTGTTTCTAGCAATGCTTGCTTACTATGCACTGCTGCCAGGTCTGTTTTGAAATTTGAGCCCCAAGAGGAAAAAAAAAATAATAAATAATAAAAAAAAAGCATCAGAAGCATCTTTACAATTTTCTCCCCAGCTCATTTCAGGCAACAGGCATGCAGAGCAGTTTTTATCTCATCATGTTAACAAAGTACAGCATGAACCAGCAACTATTTCTGACCCTGTAGGTTTGTTGGCACACTGAAGCTGGTTTACTCCAGTTAAGGACACCAGACTCACCCTTCATGAAGTCTGGTTAGAAATAACAATGGTTAATTCTGCTTTCCTGAAAGTAAATTAGAACTTAATTGTCTGTCTGTCTCTGGCATCCAGAGACAACAGGACATTCCCTGGTATGCTGGCCCAGATGTACATACCTCTCCACCTTTGAGCTGCTCTGCTGATATGAGAAATACCTAATTCCCCAATCATTCTTCCTGAGAAAATTAGCCAACCATTATTAAAGGAACTGTAGCCTGCTGCATGCAATGTCAAAGTTGTCTACACAACTGTATCTGTGTATGCTTCTCCTCCTGAGGCACTTTGTCAGCCCACAAGCCCTTTCAAGTAGAGTAATGCCTATCCTCCCTTGCTCCCGAGATGGGGCTGATAACCCAACAACTCCTCAGCTCTGCCTTCCAGGCTCTATCACAGCCTGCCTAGCTAAATACTTGGCACCTGCAAACATTTTTCTTCAGGAGCCTGCGGAGAAAACCTTCCATTGCGCCACAGAATGAAATCAAACTAGGATTTATTTAGTTGTGAGGAATTCAAAGAATTAGGTTTAAAGGGACAAAGACCTAAGCCTACCCTCTCTTACCTACAACTTGGAATTCTCTCTGAATAGCAGGGAGATGCAGTTTAGACCAAACATCTCCCTGGAAAGACTTGCACACGCTGTTTTACACACTCCCATGAATGCAGGGAATAAACACTTCTGCCAAACATCTCACTTTGCTCTTTTACAGCTGGATGTGTGTGCAGCACATCAGCAGCACTATGAAAGGAGGGTGAAAAGGCACAGGTAACAATTTGATGCTTTATATGTATCTGTGTAAGCAGTAAAAGGTTGGAAGGCAACAAGTCAGTTGAACTAATTACTTCATCTTGTGCAGCAAGCTCATGCCACGTGCTATACGTGCTTCCCATTCACACCCAGGCGTTCTCGATTGAGTTAGCTCTCCAAAAGGTGGCTCAACAGGCTCAGTTATAACAAATAGTTTGGTGTGCAACCTTATTAATGCCCCATACTGACATCAGAAGAGGATACTGACAAATGACTTTGCCCAGAAAAATTGTTTTGGCCCCCATTGAGCAGAAAGCCATCATTTGACACTGTCTAATGACATTAATCAAGCTCTGAACCTTTGTTGTTGTATGTCATAGCAAATGCTTAGCATTTTCAGGTCCAAAGTGCTTGACTAGACATTGTATATTAAAAACAAAAGACTTTAATTCATTAAAAATAGACTCTCACGCTAGATTAAGTTCATTTGCTGCACCCGTCCCTGGTCTGCCTTTGTGTGTGGTCTCATTTAAAACAGACACACATGAACCAGAACCTACTTTATTCACATGAAACAAAAATACTATTGGCTGTCAACCAACATAACAGACACTGAAGAATGGGAATACCCCTGGGTAAGGAAATTTTAATTAAAAAAAAAAAAAAAAAAGAGAGAAGAAGAAAAAAAGAAATTACAATGACGAAGAAGCAGCTGCCTTCTCTGGGAATTCCTGCTTCTTCACCTTTGTCAAAACATCTCACATTGTCTCCTATGTATTTTATAAAGGTCTTTTGCAGCTCTATTAAAGCAGCACCTTCATTTACACTCTCTCTGATCTATATTGATAAAGATTATGAAGCCATTATATGGCTCATTATGTTTGCCTTTACTTACCCCCAATTAAGATTTCAGGTGTCTCCGGTTCTGAGCTAATTTCAAAGTGGCTGCCATCTGGGACATTCTAAAGGAACATGATCAGCTCCTTTTGCATCGTTTTGCAGTGATATATCACATTTAAAACTCTAAGGGAGCAGTTCTGTTACATGCAGCCTCATTTTCCGTATGCAGAGTTTTGTGCTTCTTATTTTGGGGGAGTTATTTAGAAATCAATCCTAAGTGCCAAGTTTTAATCTATGACTGGTAAAGCATTAAAGCTCCTGGTCACAGATGACAATTGAAATGCTATTAGGCATAACATCTCCTTGCAATTATCCACAAATCATTCACAAAAAGTGCGTTTTTGAGCTTGGGTGTGCAATAAAACTAGATTCAGATGCAGTCATGAAAAAAATTTTGGCATATGTAACAAAGGCAGCCTTTATAGAAAACTCCCTTTTGAAAGGCGAAGATGAGGATCAGCACAGTGAAGTAATTGGGATCTACTAATCTCTTCTTTGGAGCAAGGTAGCATGAAAGAACAAACAAGAGCAGGCACAGGTCACCTCCCAAAAAGTGCACTGTGAAGAGACCTTTCTCTCAGTCTTCCTACTAAAAGGAGAAGAGCTGAAAGGGCAGTCACTAGAAAGAGAGATTCTCATGGAAAGCTAATAGTGAGGAAGGGAACAGAGAGCATAGGCTACATTTTGAAATTATGTCAGGCAGAGATGGCAGAGAGTTATGAAACAAGAGCTCCTGCTGGAGCAAGAACCACATCACACATGATGCTGGCAGGGGAGCATTACAGCAGGCTCAAGAAATTTTCAGCACAGCTTTAAATCTTCCATTATGTAGTAGATAATGTTGCAATATACATGGATCCATTTTTCAAGATATGGCACAAAAACATCGTGACACAATTAATTAATGTGCAATTAATTCATCTTTTGCTGATTTGCAGAGAAATAACTGACTTGAAAAAGTTTCTTCCATAAAATTTTTCAATCAACAACATGACTGTGGTATCAACCTACTGCAAGCGTGGTCTCAATACCGCATGAGAGAAATTAAGTGTTGCCCCTAGCATGCGTTTTGGTAACACTTATGAGTGCTTATATTTAACTTTGATAAAACAAAGTCATTATAAATTAAACATAAGTCTCAAAAAAAAAGCCAGAGAGCATGACTGTGTCTATACATGTGTGTGTGTGTGCACACATACATAAATATATCTCACAGACTCAGAATTTTTTAGGTTGGAAAAGACCTTTAAGATCATTGAATCCAACCATAAACCTAACATAGCTAAGTCCACCACTAAAACATGTCCCTAAGTGCCACATCTACATGACTTTTAAATACCTTCAGAGACAATGACTCAACCACTTCCCTAAGCAGCCTTGACAACCCCTTCAGTGAAGAAATTTGGGTTCTTAGAAATTAGAAATTCTTAATGCCCAACCTAAACCTTTCCTGGTGTAACTCGAGGCCATTTCCTCTGGTCCTGTTGTTTGTTACATGGAGAAGAGACTGACCCCTATGTCAGTATATACATATATATGTGTGTATAATTCCAGCCCTGCAGCAATTCTGCCACAGAGTTCAGACTGTCAGAAGAAACAGGTTATAACACAAGATACTAAAACTGCATCTTACTCCACCACTTTTTCAATCAGATCCAAGAATAATGGACAAGGATCAAGCACATTCAGCTCATAAATTTCTTTACTAGGGGGATGCAGGAGAACAGCACTACTTAGGACCTACCTTGCCCATTTGGTACATGTTTATGCGTTTTTCCTTTCCTAGGAGTTGACTGGCATGATGATGAAGCATTGTTTGTGGCTGTTTTTGTGTCCTCTGTCTCCTCCTCCTCCTCTTCTTCATCCTCATCATCCTGAGAGCTTCCAAAATATACCATGTTGCTGGGCAGGGCTGGAGAACCTGATCATTATAAAGAAATGGCTCATTAGCATCATTACATTCACTTACTGCACTAACCATATTGATCATAGCCTACTTCATGTCATACACAGCATGGGGAGAGTGGGACTCGGAGCTGGGAGATCAGACCAGTGCATGACTAACCAGAGAGGTTTTATTTATTAGTTTTTACCAACAGGATACACATGTGCTTGAAAAGCAGGGTTCTCCCCCCCTCAAGCACATTCTATTCCTACTTCAGACAATCAGTCTTGCTACAAGCCCTAATTAATAGCTCTGTGTATTCAGAAAAGGACTAATGCACACGCTTAATTTCAAATGTGTGCTCAAGTGCCTTGCTGAAATCCTATCACACAACTAGAAGCTTAGAGCTTTTCCAAATAGAAGAAAAAAGCCTAAGAAACCAGTCTGCACTGCAGTGATGTTTTTATGTTATCATTACAATAAAGCATTTAAAGTTCACAATACTTTGCAGACCTCTACAATATTGTACACCATGTTTTGTGGTATTCTGCAGTAAGAAATAAAAGAGAAAAGCCAAGACATTGAAAAGTTTATTTGCCTAGATTATTCCTGGCAAAGGAGAAAAAAAGAGGAAAGGCCTTCTGATTCCCTGTGTGGCACACTCTTGAGGATGTTGCTTCTCATCTCTTGATTACTTCCCATGATGTTCCCATGATTTCTAAATGTACAAATACTGCTGTCAACTAAGGGGCACTTTCCCATGTGCTCAGTATCGCTTTCTACTTCAAAATGAATCTCCTGTCTATCCCCTGGAGGAACAGGTTCCCTAGAAGCCTTCTAGTTATTCCCAAAGAAAAATTTCTTTTAAAGAAAGCAAAAAAAGTATAATCATCACACTTGGAGCAACTTTGATTCTTTTCCTGCAGCTTAACAAAACAAAAGGACTGGGCTAGAGACCAACACAAGGTAGTGGCTGTTTGGCTGGTGCTTCCTTAGGAAGCACTTCTGGCTTCAAGTTCTTCAGAACTGCAATTGTATGTTTGGTTTGGTTTTGAGCTGTCGTTGTTGCCATTGCCAAAAACTAACTAAAGCTTATTTCTTGATTGCGTATTTTCTCCTTCCACCAGCTTTGTACAAAATACTCTTAACTATAAAAATTACTTTTGAATGAATGAATTACCTAAATATGGCACAAAAACTAGGATAGGCTGTTTCTGCAATGAATCACCCATTCCTAAACATACTGGTTTTGATTGGCATGGAGTTAATTTTCTTCATAGTAGCTGGAACAGGGCTATATTTTGGATTTGTGCTGGAAGCAGGGGTCGGTCATAACACTGGGATGTTTTAGCCATTGCTGAGCAGCACTTGCACAGCGTGTCAAGGTATTTTTTGCCCCAGTTTTTCATGCTGCTCTACCAGCAAGCAGGCTGGGGTGCACAAGGAGCTAGAGGGGACACAGACAGGACAACTGGCCAAAGGGATATTCCAGACCATAGGACTGTTCTCAGCAATAAGAGCTGGGGGGAAAAAGGAAGAAGGTGGGGACATTCACTGTTAGACCATTTGTATTCCCATGTAACCATTTCATGTGATGGAACCCTTCATCCTGGGGATGGCTGAACACCTGCCACACTGCCTGCCAACAGTGAGTAGCAAATTAATTCTTTCCTTCGCTTTACTTTCCCTTACCCATTAAACTAGCTTTATTTCAATCCATGATGCTTCTTACTGAAAACTGACCCTTCCAATTCTCTCCTCCATCCCACTGAAGGCTTAGCCCCCACCTGTGAAGACGTCTGTTTTTGGCCTCTGTAACAGCCCCTTTGGAACTGTGGCTGCCCTGGGGGGAAGCAGAGAGCAGAGAATCCTGTGCTAGGTGTGAGTGGTAGCTCTGGGAGAGCCAGCAGCATTGATGACATGATGATCCTTCCCCCTGAAACTGTGCATTATTCCATCCATCCTAGACAGAAATGTATGGACACATACGGGTATCTTAGGGGAAAAGGCTTTTGCATGCCACAGCTTTCACGGTTATATAGACTGATGATCAAATTAAGATTGCTGACACATTTCACAGCATGGAAGCTGTAGCAACTTAGAGAAACAAAGAATCTTCACATTTTTAATGCAAGCCCAGAACTTTCTGGCACAGTCTAAGCAATCAAACATAGTAGGTAAGAGGTGCTGAGAGGCACAGTAATTCTACTCATAGGGGAGTTTTAAGTCTCAGCAGCAACTACCTAGAAGACTCTCAAATAGTTACTTCTAGGACAGTGCTGCCTGAAAAATAAATTGGTTTTTATTTCCATCTAGATTTCCCAAATATGTAGTATGGATTCAGAAACTGGATGCAAGTGCATCAGTTCTTATCAGAATTTGAAGTCTGATGCCATCTGACACCACTGTGCATTGACACATGACGGCGTAAAAGAACCTTACTGTTTGGAACCCTCAAAATTAGATTCAAACAAAGACTGAAATCACCCTATTATAATTAGAGAAATAGAAAATTGATTCTTCTGAGACACTAAAACAGGAGTCTAGGTATACTGTCTGTTCTTTCAGCTTCATCTTCCTTAGAATTCCACATCTCTGAGCTTTTTTGGCAGCTGCTTTAAACAGCAACCAACAAAAATATATCATCTGCAATGCAAATGTTGTTATTACAATAGCAACTTTTTTTTTTTCCTTTCTTTAAGCAGAGAATAAAATACAGCACTGTGTCAGTCTGTTTAGAAAGGAGGGAGAGTCTTACCCAAGTCTGAGAACAGGCACAAACTTCACCTAACTTCTGGTATTCAGTCGCTGTAATCTCAGTGCATAAATCTCCAGTCAGAATGACAGTTTTTAATTCTTTCCAATTGAGAACTACGAACAACAATGGCTAAACTGCATTCCTGGGACAGCTGGGACTGTTTGGGAAGTACATTTCCAGAGAAATTAGACTAGCAACATCCAATAACACAGGAGAGTCCTGCTAACCCTCACTTTATTGATCTAAATGCTCTGCAATATGAGACCTTGGAGAAGAGCTGGCGTTCAGTCCGGGTCTCCTCCCCACCAGCTTTTCCTACATATTTATTAAACTTTCTTGCAAACAGAAAGAAAGAAAGAAAAAAAAAGTCCGGACTTGCGCATTTTTGCTCTATTTAAGCATTGTTATGGATGGAAGACTCTGAAAGAAATTTAAAAGCTCTGAGTTTTCTTGCTTAATTTTTGTATTGGAACTATTTTTAGCCTCATCTTTTATAATAGTAGTTCACTTCTGGAATAGCCTCAAATAATTTGTCCACAACTATATGTTGAACTGGTTAAAACCACTTTCACTTTAAGCCTATGTAGCAAAACATGTCCAAAAGGCGAAGAAAACATTGCTTTAAAATATTGAAACAGCCTGTCCAAGCTCAGGACACTGCAAATTCTCTTTATAAGCAAACTGAAGGGAAGACATACCTGTAAGTACACAGTGATTTCATTCAAGCTGAAAGAATGTCAATTATGCTTATGAAATAACACCTAATGCGTAAATAGTTTATGTCCACTGCTAGTACACCAAGCAAAGAGCTAAGCAACTCTCTCTAAGTCTCCTCTTATGGAAATAATACTCAGATTTCTCATGGCTGAAAAAAATATGAAACTCATACAAATGAAACTGCACTGTGAAGAGTGGAAGCTACATAATCACTCACCTTCTTTAATATTGTGTAATAATTATTCCTGTCCTAAATATCCCTCATTCTCTCTGAGAACAGACAGGGATGTGTACATGATGCCACAGCCTACCTCTAGTAATAAATGGGACCCTATTTGTTACTCAAAGCTACTGATTTATATAAACAATACCAAGAGGTGTTACTGTACCTATAAACATTCAAGACCACTGGAAATCTGAAGAAGAATGTGTGCTCAAGAGTTGACAGGTTTGTTCCAGCTGTATCAGTTGGTCAAATAAAATACACTAGCCTTCCTCAAAAATCTGGCTGGTCTTCATGCAAGTTAAGACTTATGGTGGTTTTCCTTATAGACAGACTTCGTTGAGAGTTGCTGCTCTTAGGTTACTCCATGTGTAACAGATATTTACCCTGAGACTTATGTATGACAGCAAGATGATAAAAGCCCTCCAAAATGGCATGAGAACAAGGAAAACTGCAGGTTCACCACACACATCTGTACACACACATTCACAGAACACAGTTGTTGTAGAGGCTTTCTTGATACATAAAATCCACTAATCACTATTCTGCACCTTTGTCTCTTCCTGCACATACTCAGCAACAGAAACCCACAGGGCAGCTATGTTGGTTCCTTAGTGCTCATATTTCCCAGCCAGGCAGCAAGAATAAATAAGATGAGCAATCATCCCTCCTCTTCCTCTTGCCCTCCCCAGCACAAGTGTGATTCTCAAAGCAAAAAAGTGGCAATGCTACAAATAAAGGGCAACATCTGTGCCTGGGAGGTGGTACCTGCCAGGTCTCAGCACTCCAAGTATACAATTCCCCAGTTCTTCACTTTCCATCCCAGAGAAAACAGCAGAAAAATCTGAGAGAGAGAGTGCCTGTGGCTGTATTGAATTTTACAAGTCTCCTGTGCTGGGAGCCCCCGCATCGTGCAGGCAGCTGCTATGGTGGGCACTGGAGCAGAGGAAGCAGGAGAGCAGAGCAGCCCTCCAGAGCCTGGGGAAAGCACATGAACAGCTCTCCACCCTGAGAAATGCACCCTGCCACCCACCCCATCAGCAGGTGCCTGAAAAGCCCGCTCACTCAGCAAATCTGATGGCAGCACAGAAATTAAATTTGACTTCTTACTACTCCTTTAGAAGACATTTCATGCAAGGAACCATCTAGATTGTTAGTGGCTGTGTGGACATTTTTCTTGGCATCAAAAATGGCCTGCAGAACATCTACCTCCATCTGGCCTCTTCTTATTATACCTGTGCCACCTCCTCAACTGTGGCAGTGTAATTTATTTGTGGGGCCATGTGGTGAATCAGATCAGGGAACTGATTCAGATTAAAATCTCAGACTAAGGAAATG